TTCATGGGAACAGGTAGTAAATCCTGAATTTCAAACGGGCTTTTTGTAATTAAGTAGTGGAATGTACTATACCTTGAAGAACAAGTCCAGCCGGCTGTATGTTGATAAGCATCAAAATGTCTCACTGATTGGAACTTAAATAGTGGCTTGTGTTAGTGTTCGTGTGAGTGTCTGTTAGTTAGTGAATAGATTTAGCCAGAAACCATTGTTTATTTTATTATAATGCAAATAAAGTTTAAATATTACCTCACAAATGCAGTTGTAGTGAAAAAACTGAAAAATAGATAACTAAAAATCACTTCTCTTATCTCGTTTACAGGGGCAAGAACATGTGGAGAGACTAATCTACGTGGATCTATAATGACAGGAACTTATTACTCCTTATGATTGACAGTAAATCACTGAACTAGAAAATCACATATTCTGTTCTAGATGTTTTTGGCTTGGATTTTATATTGAATTATTTTATTGATTCAGGTAGGCCTTAATCATTTTAGACACTCTAATCGCTCTACATATATATAATATAAAGGCTGGACTACATACAGAATCACACTTTAATAGCATCTTAGTTGAGAACAATGAGGATACTGACACCAGGCAGCCTACAACTGTCGCTGAAGCTCACTGTTGTACTGGGATCACTATGGATGGTTTTCCTGCTCAGTTTCCCTGAAAAAGGCTGGGATCCTACCTACATTCTCAGGTACAGCTGGCTGGAGTATACAGATGCTGATGGCGGCCCAGAAAAAGTGTGCAACTGTTCAGCAATCCTGCGAGGAGAGAGGGAGGCACTGGAGCAGGCTAAATTACTGACCATCACTAAAGACTTCCACAAGAGTGTTCAGATCCCTGATGAATATTATATCAATGCAACCCAAGACTGCAGGTGTGTTGCTTTAAACTACAGATTAAACTCTAAGCTATTGTTTAAATCTAATGAATTTTTAAAGGACCAGTGTGTAGGATTTAGTGGCATCTAGCAGTGAAGTTGCAGATTGCAACCAACTGAACACCGCTCGTTTCAGTATTTGATGACCTGGAAATGACAACGGCTGTGAAGTGTGTTTGAGAAACTATGGTGGCTGCGAAAGTTGTGAAAAGCCATTCTGAGCTACTGTAGAAACATGGTGGTTCAACACAGCCTCCATGGAAGAGGACCCACTCCCTCTGTAGATAAAGACAGCTCATTTTAAGGTAACAAAAACACAGAAAATCTTATTTTAAGGTGATTATCCACTAGTGAAAATGTACCAATGAATATTAGATTCCATATCTGCCAATAGATTAGATTAGACTAAATGTTACACACTGGACCTTTAACAGACATTTGTTAGGCAGAATTCCCTTTGGTGTTGATTCAATTTTATTTATATACAGCCAATTCAAGCTGAGCAGGAAATACATACCATTCCCATTAAGTCAGGAAGAAGAGGACTTCCCACTGGCTTACTCAATAGTTGTGCACAAAAAGGTATGCACATTCAAAATTAAAATGAACTTTAAGAATGGTGTGGCAATAGTCTAAATATTTCACTTTAATCATTTATTGAAGAGGCACTCCTCCAGTTCAGTTTAAATGTGATTCTCAGTCTGTGAAAACAGATGTGTAATGTTTTTTTCCTCTGGAAAGAGCTTTGCAAAGTTTGGAAAATATTTATTTATTTATTTCAATTTGATCTTGAGATTTTTTTTTTTTTAGAGAAGTGATGGCGACTTTATGGAAGAATAATACTAAATTGATGAAGTGCCCCTTTTTAAATGGTTCTAAACATAAGGCAAATATATGCAACAATGAGTATTTTAAACATACAATGAGATTAAATATTTTTCCCCCCACAAACTCTAGGTGCAGAACTTTGAGCGACTGCTGCGAGCCATCTATGCGCCTCAAAATATTTATTGTGTCCATGTGGACAAAAAGTCAGAGGCCTCAGTCTTCTTTGCCATCTGGGCCATTACTTCCTGTTTCGAGAATGTCTTCATGGTCAGCCAGGCTGTGAATGTGGTCTATGCTGCCTGGCCACGCGTCCAGGCTGATCTTAACTGTATGGCTGATCTCTACAACGCCAGCACCAAGTGGAAATACTTCATCAACCTTTGTGGCCAAGATTTCCCTCTGAAAACCAACTTGGAGATTGTGAGGAAGCTGCGTTCACTGAAAGGCGCTAACAGCTTGGAGTCGGAAACAATGGCTGGAGAAAAGAAGTGGAGGGTGTCAAATGTTCACCAGATAGTTGATGGGGAAATAAAGGTAGCTCCTTTGGAGATTTTTACATTTTTTATTGTTCAGATTGACCTTAATGACCTTCACCATCATATTAATTCACAATTTCATCTGTCCCAGGGGATAGGAAAGGCAAAGGAGCCTCCACCATTCAACCTGCCCATTCTGTCAGGAAATGCCTACATTGTAGTTAATCGAGGCTACATCCGCAGTGTGTTGGAGGACAACCGAGTACTGGCGCTGATCGAGTGGGCCAAAGATACCTACAGTCCAGATGAGTTTCTCTGGGCAACCATTCAGCGAATCCCTGGTGTTCCTGGCTCAAGGTGGCCCAACCACAAATACGACATGACAGACATGAATGCGATTGCACGGCTGGTGAAGTGGCAATGGCATGAGGGGTCACAGGGTTCACTGGAGGCGGTGTACCCAGAGTGTCGAGGCACCCATGTCAGGGCAATATGTGTGTATGGTGCTGGAGACCTGCAGTGGATACTTGAGCAGCAACACCTCTTTGCCAATAAGTTTGACATAGACACAGATCCCATTGCTGTCTACTGCTTGGAGAAATACTTTAGACAAAAAGCACTGGCTGAGTTACTTTAGATCTATTGGAGATTTTTTCTGCTCCAGATTATAGAGATAAAACAATTTTCAAGATGTATTTAAAGGTTCCAAATATAAGATTCTGAAGCATTTTCCGTATTATATTTACGTGTGAATCACCTTTTATATTAATGGGTGAATAGATTGTAATGTAACTTAAAAAATGAGACCTTTCCTAACTCTTTTGGTTTATATGCGCTTCTACAGAACGTAGGGATGCAAAATAAAAGTAATGTGTACTTTTGGTTAAATGGAAGTCATCACTATATTGATGACACATATATATGATTCCAGTGAATGTACATCTTTGAACTGATTAATAAAGGGTGATCATAAATGTGTTGTCTATTACTATTTCAAGATGGATCTGGTTTGTATTCCAGAGCCAGTGTCTGGTGGCGGTCAGCGTTGTGCTGGTTGAGGTTGGAAGAGCAGAGTGGGTGTCCCTCCAAACCCGACCAAGGTGCATTTGGACCGAGGGAACAGCTAGTTAATTTTAGACTCTTTCTATGAAAAGAATATAAAGGCTGGACTACAGAACTCCCACTGTAATAGCATCTTAGACGAGATCTTCAACAATGAGGATACTTCAGTCAATACAGGGACATAGAAAGTGATCCCTTTAGAAACAAAAAAGAAACAGGGGAGGAGGAAGGTTGAATTATGGCTGCAGTCAATAAGTGATTTATATATTTGTCCATAGCCTCTTTCTTGGGATGAGATATGTTGTAGAGTCTATTTGTGAAAAAGAGGGGCACCAGGGAGAAAATTTATGGCATAATGATAGTTGCGATGAGGAGGCAAAACCTCACCCAGATCATGATACTCAACAGGGATGGAAGAGAAATCAGGGGACTCTGAGCTCATTGGAGGGACAGCGACCTCTGCTGGATGCAGAGCAGATCACAGGCAGGAGGAGTGGCAGAATAAACTCCAATTTATTATTTCCCCAGTAAAATCAATGTGAGGATTATGTTGTTTCAACCAAAGATGACCCAGAAACAGCTGGGCTGTCGGCTGGAAGGCAGACCTTTGAGGCACTGCAAGGCAGGCAGACAAAGTTTGCGGGAAGGAAATAAACCTGAGGCACAGGTAAACCCAAGGTTAGACAGGATTCAAGAAAAACTGAGCTTAAGCTTGGCCATAGCATTAGAACCACATTTACAAACAAACAGTTGATCAACAAGGAACATAAGAGGAAACAGCTGAAACACTAAGAATGAGGGAGAGGGACAGGTGGGACCATGGCACTATCCTGGTTCTGGTACAGATGTAGATAATAATGAAGAAAACCAATCGTAGCCTACAGTATTAGCATTTCTGACTGATTTTCTGCATAAATGCCGAAGAAATAAGGTGACATTTGATGCAGTTGTATGGACTTGAGAAAAAGAACCTTCAGGATATGCAAAGATAACAGGATTTAGCATGACGATGATGATTAAGCAACTTGGCTTTCAGAATAAAAGCAGTGGTACATTCCTGTTGACTAAATAAGTGAAAGCGTCAATCCCTGAAAAACAGTACAGTGGTAATTTATTTTACAAATTCAAATATATTTCTTTCACACATTTTTGTGAGGGCTACTATTTCAGGGCTATTTGCAGGACCAAATTTGAGATACAGTACAAGTTCACACTTTAGATATTAATACACAGGGTTGAAATGAGCTCCACCTCGCAAGAGGGTTATTACATTTTTGTATTCGAACATTAGTGGTGATAATATTACACCATAACCAGAGCAGTTATGTCTGGGAGTGCACAAGAATTGGGTATCAACTAAGTATTTAAAAAAAAAAAAAAAATAGACAGCTTTCACTCTTTCTGAAGATTTTGTACAATACAAGAATGGCAACCATTGACCCTTTTGGTCTAACACTAAATACTAGTCTTAGGAGCAATTGTACAGAATACATTAAATAACTGGGTCTTCTAATCTTTCCATGTGTGGTCTTTATTTGTGCTGGAAACATTGCTCATTTATTTTTAGAATTAATGATTATGATTAAACTCATTAAAGATTTGTTTCCAGTGAGACACACCTTTTATGTTTCACTCCAGGCTTTGGTGCACGATAAATGGTTTTACTTTGAAAAATGCTCACAGGAAGACTTTGTTTCGTGGCCATATGTGCCTCCCATTTACATCTGGATAGACCAGAACAAGTGCAAACATCAGTCAGCAATTAGGGGAGAAACAGAGAGAGGGAGATGAAGAGAGAAGAATCACCTAATGTGCTGCTTGTAAAGTCACAGGTAGGAAGCATTAACAAGTCCTGTTGATTTGGTGAACAAAATATGTAGTTACTTTTATTTCAAACAATGTTACTTTAGTGAAAACTCTTCACAGATTTGCCTTCACTTAAAAAAGAGGCTTTTATTTTTAAGTTTTCAACAGTAAATTCAGTTTTTATATTACATAATGTATATTGTATTCTAGCAGTGTAAGTTGGACTTTTATATTTAGGAAGAAGATGATAGTGGAGACGTGAGAGAAGTGAATATAGAATGGTGAATGATGTGTTTTTAGATTCTTCATCAGACATCCAGCCAAAAACTGGAAAATAGATACATTGAACAAATAAATAATGAAATTAAATGCAAACGTGAAAAAGTTGTAAAGTAAAAGGTGAATGGAATTGTAATACGTTAAAGCTGCATTATGACTTAATATAACTAACATTATTATTTCAATAAGTGGCTGCCATTTTATCCCCCAATGTATTATTCATGTACAATGTATGCATTTGTAGTTATTATATTCTCATTTCATATATTTTTTATATACTTGTCCCATTTCCACAGGAAAAAGCAGAAAATGGGCAAACATTTGCTTCATTAAACATTTTCTTGCCGTAAAGAACGTTAAACAAAAAATTAACATCCACAGTCCTCAGGGAACACTCAATACTGCTGTTTTGGAGTCAATGTGTAAGGAAACCTTCTAAATAATATTTATGAAAAGAAAATCTTCAGTCTTAGACAGTAATTAGTCCGGGACATAACCATTTCTTTTTTCCCCACCATGGTCCCATTAGTCCCAGTCATATTTTTATTCATCGGTCAATGTAATTTTTGATTAAAACAGGAGGGTTAATGCATATGTGTATTCTTTTTACCTTTTCTGTGCTCATGTATTTAATAATGGTATCTTGGCTGACTGCTAGTCCAGTTTAAAGACTATGATTAAAAATTAACTTTGTTATTTGGTCCCGTTTACATTTTATACTAGTCATATTTAAATGGGTGACAATTTCAAATTAATTTCATTCACATCAAACTATTCAGTTACTGGAAGCATCTGCATGTGTCATATTTCTAGGTGTAAGGTTCCACATGTTTATACCCAAAATAAAAGAAATATGAAAAAAAAGGAAATGTAAATTTAATATATTTTGATAAGCAACAAACAAAAACATAAATAGAATCACCCCTGTGCTGTCGTCACTCCACTGGCTTCCAGTCCGTTTTAGAATTGATTTTAAACTTTTGTTGTTTGTTTTTAACACCATTAATGGCTTGGCCCCCTCTTACTTGTCAGAGATTTTCACTTTTCGCAATTGTGGCAGAGCCTTGCGCTCTTCGGGTCAGCTTCTGTTAGAGGTCCCTAGGTCGAGACTTAAACAGTGGGGCGATCGTTCTTTTGCTGTCGCTGCTCCTAGACTGTGGAACAAACTGCCCCCTGACTTTCGCACCACTACTGATCTCGGCCTTTTTAAATCGCAGCTTAAGACCCACTTTTTAGATTAGCATTTAATTCTGACTAGGACAGTACTGTCTCTTAGGTGTACTCTTTTTATCTGCTCCTCTCTATGCATTTCTGGAAGGCTTTTAATACCCTGCAGTGCTGCAGCACTACAGCACTTTTAATTGTATTTGTATATTATATATGTGTTATGTATTGTTTCATGGCTTTGTTGTAAAGCACTTTGGGTACCTTTCGGCTATTGTAAAGGGCTATACAAATAAACTTGATTTGATTTGATTTGATAGAATCAGACCTGTTACTTGATTGATATTTTACGTTGGTCAAACTACTTCAAAATCTACTTGAATATCAAGCTGCTGATACAGTTTTAGAAAGGATTCCATGTTTGATTAAACAATAGATGTATCCGTACCTATTACCTATGAGTTTCCCTCCCTCACTACTTAAAAGATTTAATGCAGCGGTAGCGGGCTTTTTTGTGGGGAGGTAAAAGACCTTGTTTGAATAGAATTAAAATGTACGCTGCAAAGGAGGACAGAGGCCTCAACCTGCCAAAAGTGGACTGGTACCACTATGCCTTTTCTCTTAATCAGCTCGCCAAAATATATATTGCAGAGGACAAAGCTCTGGGTTGGGTCCTGATTGAAAAAGAACTTACTGATCCAATGCCATTACAGGCTTTTATTTCACAACGTGGAGGATAAGTTCCATCTAGGAATCCATTATTGTTGTTTGCAAGAGAAACCTGGCAAGTATCACATCGTCTCATTGGCTTAAACCCTTCTTTTACTAGAAGGTCATCTCTATGGCATAACAAACTACTGAAAGTGGATAAAACAACTCTTTACTGGAAGTCATGGGTTGAAGCAGGGATTATTTTTATTGGGGATGTTTTCGAGGGCGATCATTTTATGGGTTTTGCACAACTGGTAACTAAATATAGAATCCCTAAGCAAGACTTTTGGAAATATTTGCAATTAAGAAGTTGTATAATGTCTGCACAACGAAAACTCCCCCTATTACCTCAAACAGAGTTACAAAAACTAGTGCAGGGAGATCAGGGGGGCTACAGGTGGGGCATCTAAATATTATAGGCTTATAAAACAATCTCACCCGCCGAAACTTGAGGGTCTCAAGAGAGCATGGGAGGCAGATTTACAGGGCGAGATAATTATGGAGAAGTGGAAGGAAATAACCAGATCCTGGTATAAGACATCTAGAGAGATGCAAACCCGCTTAATTACATATAAAATCATACATAGGGTTTATTGGACTCCTTGTAAGATGGCAAGACTAAAGCTTTGTGAATCTGAGATTGCTGGAGATGTGAGAGGAGTAAGGGAACACTTTTACACATGCTGTATGAATGTGAAATGACACAAAACTTATGGGAAATAATAATATTATTCATAAACAAAGTGTTCAGGACAGAGTCCCGCTCTATGTATTTTGGGCATAATACCAGAGGGAATAGGGTTATCATTCCAGCAAACTCTATGGTGTAGATTGGCCCTTACTACGGGTTGTAGGATTGTTCTCAGACATTGGAAGTCAAAAAATATTATTCCATTTAATGAATGGATGGGAGAAATGACTATAATAGCCAGATATGAACAATTGATTTTCAGGCTGAACAATAGGGAGGAGGTATTTATGAAAATATGGGGTCCATACATGAATCTCATACGAGATAGTTGATGGGAGAAACTATGTTGATGCATTTTCATATAAACAATATACCATGTCTTGAGTGTGACAAGAGTCTGATAAGTTGTAGGGTGGAGACTGTGAGAGTGAAGGCGTTGAGAGTGATTCTGGCAATGTGAACCATGTGCATGTAGACATATGTAATTATTTCTGTGTTTGTATTAGTTTAGTTTATGCAAGTGTCTCTTTGTGAGGAATATTATTATTATTATTTTTTTCTTATGTCAGGAATTATGTTGTTTTGTATTGTTCTTGTCATTGTTCAAGTTCAGGTTTTGTTGCACTGTTGAAAAGCAATAAAAAGTGAATTATAAAAAAAAAAAAAAAAAAAAAAAACAATAGATGTATCCATATCACCTCTCTTATCTTGTTTCCAGGGTCAAAGACATGTGGAATGACCAATCTACATGGATCTTTAATGACAGGAACTTGTCTACACACTGTTAAACATTACTCTTTATGATTTACAGTAAAACACTGAATGTAGAAATAACTAGAACATCACCTATGCTGAAAGATTTTATATAAATAAAGTGGCTGAGAGAAACATAAAGGCTTGTAAGTGCAACTGGACTACATACAGAATCACACTTTAATAGCATCTTAGTTGAGAACAATGAGGATACTGACACGAGGCAGCCTACAACGGTTGCTGAAGCTCACTGTTGTACTGGGATCACTATGGATGGTTTTGCGACTTGGTTTTCCTGAAAAAGGCTGGGATCCTACCTACATTCTTAGGTACAGCTGGCTGGAGTATACAGATGCTGATGGCAGCCCAGAAAAAGTGTGCAACTGTTCAGCAATCCTGCGAGGAGAGAGGGAGGCACTGGAGCAGGCTAAATTACTGACCATCACTAAAGACTTCCACAAGAGTGTTCAGATCCCTGATGAATATTATATCAATGCAACCCAAGACTGCAGGTGTGTTGCTTTAAACTACAGATTAAACTCTAAGCTATTGTTTAAATCTAATGAATTTTTAAAGGACCAGTGTGTAGGATTTAGTGGCATCTAGCAGTGAAGTTGCAGATTGCAACCAACTGAACACCGCTCGTTTCAGTATTTGATGACCTGGAAATGACAACGGCTGTGAAGTGTGTTTGAGAAACTATGGTGGCTGCGAAAGTTGTGAAAAGCCATTCTGAGCTTCTGTAGAAACATGGTGGTTCAACACAGCCTCCATGGAAGAGGACCCACTCCCTCTGTAGTTAAAGACGGCTCATTTTAAGGTAACAAAAACACAGAAAATCTTATTTTGAGGTGATTATCCACTAGTGAAAATGTACCAATGAATATTAGATTCCATATCTGCCAATAGATTAGATTAGACTAAATGTTACACACTGGACCTTTAACAGACATTTGTTAGGCAGAATTCCCTTTGGTGTTGATTCAATTTTATTTATATACAGCCAATTCAAGCTGAGCAGGAAATACTTACCATTCCCATTAAGTCAGGAAGAAGAGGACTTCCCACTGGCTTACTCCATGGTTGTGCACAATAAGGTATGCACATTCAAAATTAAAATTAACTTTAGGAATGGTGTGGTAATAGTCTAAATATTTCACTTTAATCATTTATTGAAGAGGCACTCCTCCAGTTCAGTTTAAATGTCATACTGAGTGATTCTCTGTCTGTGAAAACAGATGTGTAATGTTTTCTTCCTCTGGAAGGAGCTTTGCAAAGTTGGAAAAAAAAAAGGTATTTATTTATTTCAACTTGGTCTTGAGATTTTTTTTAAATCTGAAAGCCTGTGTTTCAAACTGGTAGTGTGCAGTTTGAAAGAAGTGGGCATTTCAGAGACAATGGCATATAATGAAAGCTGCATTATGGGAAGTGTAGGATCCAGCATTTATGAAGTTGCCTCAGGACAATAAGTCAGGATATCTCAGCCTCTGCTGCTTAAATCTTTACCATCTTTTAGAATCAGTCTCTTGTGAGTCCCCAAACTTTATGGAAGAAAAAATTAGGTTGTTGGAGTGTACCTTTAAATGGATCCAAAAAGAAAGCAAATATATGTAACAATAAGTATTTGAAATTTGAATTTTTTTCCCCCCACAAACTCTAGGTGCAGAACTTTGAGCGACTGCTGCGAGCCATTTATGCGCCTCAAAATATTTATTGTGTCCATGTGGACAACAAGTCAGAGGCCTCAGTCTTCTTTGCCATCCAGGCCATTACTTCCTGTTTCGAGAATGTCTTCATGGTCAGCCAGGCTGTGAATGTGGTCTATGCTGCCTGGCCACGCGTCCAGGCTGATCTTAACTGTATGGCTGATCTCTACAACGCCAGCACCAAGTGGAAATACTTCATCAACCTTTGTGGCCAAGATTTCCCTCTGAAAACCAACTTGGAGATTGTGAGGAAGCTGCGTTCACTGAAGGGCGCTAACAGCTTGGAGTCGGAAACAATGGCTGGAGAAAAGAAGTGGAGGGTGTCAAATGTTCACCAGATAGTTGATGGGGAAATAAAGGTAGCTCCTTTGGAGATTTTCAAATTTTTCATTGTTCAGATTGACCTTAATGACCATCACCATCATATTAATTCACTATTTCATCTGTCCCAGGGGATAGGAAAGGCAAAGGAGCCTCCTCCATTCAACCTGCCCATTCTGTCAGGAAATGCCTACATTGTAGTTAATCGAGGCTACATCCGCAGTGTGTTGGAGGACAACCGAGTACTGGCACTGATCGAGTGGGCCAAAGATACCTACAGTCCAGATGAGTTTCTCTGGGCAACCATTCAGCGAATCCCTGGTGTTCCTGGCTCAAGGTGGCCCAACCACAAATACGACATGACAGACATGAATGCGATTGCACGGCTGGTGAAGTGGCAATGGCATGAGGGGTCACAGGGTTCACTGGAGGCGGTGTACCCAGAGTGTCGAGGCACCCATGTCAGGGCAATATGTGTGTATGGTGCTGGAGACCTGCAGTGGATACTTGAGCAGCATCACCTCTTTGCCAATAAGTTTGACATAGACACAGATCCCATTGCTGTCTACTGCTTGGAGAAATACCTTAGACAAAAAGCACTGGCTGAGTTACTTTAGATCTATTGGAGATTTTTTCTGCTCCAGATTATAGAGATAAAACAATTTTCAAGATGTATTTAAAGGTTCCAAATATAAGATCTTGAAGCATTTTCCATATTATTTTTACGTGTGAATCACCTTTTATATTAAATGGGTGAATAGATTGTAATGTAACTTAAAAAATGAGACCTTTCCCAACTCTTTTGGTTTATATGCGCTTCTACAGTATGTAGGGATGCAGGTGGGATATTCCACAAAATAAAATTAATGTGTACTTTTGGTTAAATGGAAGTCATCACTATATTGATGACACATATATATGATTCCAGTGAATGTACATCTTTGAACTGATTAATAAAGGGTGATCATAAATGTGTTGTCTATTACTATTTCAAGATGGATCTGGTTTGTATTCCAGAGCCAGTGTCTGGTGGCGGTCAGCGTTGTACTGGTTGAGGTTGGAAGAGCAGAGTGGGTGTCCCTCCAAACCCGACCAAGGTGCATTTGGACCGAGGGAACAGCTAGTTAATTTTAGACTCTTTCTATGAAAAGAATATAAAGGCTGGACTACAGAACTCCCACTGTAATAGCATCTTAGACGAGATCTTCAACAATGAGGATACTTCAGTCAATACAGGGACATAGAAAGTGATCCCTTTAGAAACCTGCAGTCAATAAGTGATTTATATATTTGTCCATAGCCTCTTTCTTGGGATGAGATATGTTGTAGAGTCTATTTGTGAAAAAGAGGGGCACCAGGGAGAAAATTTATGGCATAATGATAGTTGCGATGAGGAGGCAAAACCTCACCCAGATCATGATACTCAACAGGGATGGAAGAGAAATCAGGGGACTCGGAGCTCATTGGAGGGACAGCGACCTCTGCTGGATGCAGAGCAGATCACAGGCAGGAGGAGTGGCAGAATAAACTCCAATTTATTATTTCCCCAGTAAAATCAATGTGAGGATTATGTTGTTTCAACCAAAGATGACCCAGAAACAGCTGGGCTGTCGGCTGGAAGGCAGACCTTTGAGGCACTGCAAGGCAGGCAGACAAAGTTTGCGGGAAGGAAATAAACCTGAGGCACAGGTAAACCCAAGGTTAGACAGGATTCAAGAAAAACTGAGCTTAAGCTTGGCCATAGCATTAGAACCACATTTACAAACAAACAGTTGATCAACAAGGAACATAAGAGGAAACAGCTGAAACACTAAGAATGAGGGAGAGGGACAGGTGGGACCATGGCACTATCCTGGTTCTGGTACAGATGTTGATAATAATGAAGAAAACCAATCGTAGCCTACAGTATTAGCATTTCTGACTGATTTTCTGCATAAATGCCGAAGAAATAAGGTGACATTTGATGCAGTTGTATGGACTTGAGAAAAAGAACCTTCAGGATATGCAAAGATAACAGGATTTAGCATGACGATGATGATTAAGCAACTTGGCTTTCAGAATAAAAGCAGTGGTACATTCCTGTTGACTAAATAAGTGAAAGCGTCAATCCCTGAAAAACAGTACAGTGGTAATTTATTTTACAAATTCAAATATATTTCTTTCACACATTTTTGTGAGGGCTACTATTTCAGGGCTATTTGCAGGACCAAATTTGAGATACAGTACAAGTTCACACTTTAAATATTAATACACAGGGTTGAAATGAGCTCCACCTCGCAAGAGGGTTATTACATTTTTGTATTCGAACATTAGTGGTGATAATATTACACCATAACCAGAGCAGTTATGTCTGGGAGTGCACAAGAATTGGGTATCAACTAAGTATTTAAAAAAAAAAAAAAATAGACAGCTTTCACTCTTTCTGAAGATTTTGTACAATACAAGAATGGCAACCATTGACCCTTTTGGTCTAACACTAAATACTAGTCTTAGGAGCAATTGTACAGAATACATTAAATAACTGGGTCTTCTAATCTTTCCATGTGTGGTCTTTATTTGTGCTGGAAACATTGCTCATTTATTTTTAGAATTAATGATTATGATTAAACTCATTAAAGATTTGTTTCCAGTGAGACACACCTTTTATGTTTCACTCCAGGCTTTGGTGCACGATAAATGGTTTTACTTTGAAAAATGCTCACAGGAAGACTTTGTTTCGTGGCCATATGTGCCTCCCATTTACATCTGGATAGACCAGAACAAGTGCAAACATCAGTCAGCAATTAGGGGAGAAACAGAGAGAGGGAGATGAAGAGAGAAGAATCACCTAATGTGCTGCTTGTAAAGTCACAGGTAGGAAGCATTAACAAGTCCTGTTGATTTGGTGAACAAAATATGTAGTTACTTTTATTTCAAACAATGTTACTTTAGTGAAAACTCTTCACAGATTTGCCTTCACTTAAAAAAAGAGGCTTTTATTTTTAAGTTTTCAACAGTAAATTCAGTTTTTATATTACATAATGTATATTGTATTCTAGCAGTGTAAGTTGGACTTTTATATTTAGGAAGAAGATGATAGTGGAGACGTGAGAGAAGTGAATATAGAATGGTGAATGATGTGTTTTTAGATTCTTCATCAGACATCCAGCCAAAAACTGGAAAATAGATACATTAAACAAATAAATAATGAAATTAAATGCAAACGTGAAAAAGTTGTAAAGTAAAAGGTGAATGGAATTGTAATACGTTAAAGCTGCATTATGACTTAATATAACTAACATTATTATTTCAATAAGTGGCTGCCATTTTATCCCCCAATGTATTATTCATGTACAATGTATGCATTTGTAGTTATTATATTCTCATTTCATATATTTTTTATATACTTGTCCCATTTCCACAGGAAAAAGCAGAAAATGGGCAAACATTTGCTTCATTAAAAATTTTCTTGCCGTAAAGAACGTTAAACAAAAAATTAACATCCACAGTCCTCAGGGAACACTCAATACTGCTGTTTTGGAGTCAATGTGTAAGGAAACCTTCTAAATAATATTTATGAAAAGAAAATCTTCAGTCTTAGACAGTAATTAGTCCGGGACATAACCATTTCTTTTTTCCCCACCATGGTCCCATTAGTCCCAGTCATATTTTTATTCATCGGTCAATGTAATTTTTGATTAAAACAGGAGGGTTAATGCATATGTGTATTCTTTTTACCTTTTCTGTGCTCATGTATTTAATAATGGTATCTTGGCTGACTGCTAGTCCAGTTTAAAGACTATGATTAAAAATTAACTTTGTTATTTTGTCCCGTTTACATTTTATACTAGTCATATTTAAATGGGTGACAATTTCAAATTAATTTCATTCACATCAAACTATTCAGTTACCTGAAGCATCTGCATGTGTCATATTTCTAGGTGTAAGGTTCCACATGTTTATACCCAAAATAAAAGAAATATGAAAAAAAAGGAAATGTAAATTTAATATATTTTGATAAGCAACAAACAAAAACATAAATAGAATCACCCCTGTGCTGTCGTCACTCCACTGGCTTCCAGTCCGTTTTAGAATTGATTTTAAACTTTTGTTGTTTGTTTTTAACACCATTAATGGCTTGGCCCCCTCTTACTTGTCAGAGATTTTCACTTTTCGCAATTGTGGCAGAGCCTTGCGCTCTTCGGGTCAGCTTCTGTTAGAGGTCCCTAGGTCGAGACTTAAACAGTGGGGCGATCGTTCTTTTGCTGTCGCTGCTCCTAGACTGTGGAACAAACTGCCCCCTGACTTTCGCACCACTACTGATCTCGGCCTTTTTAAATCGCAGCTTAAGACCCACTTTTTTAGATTAGCATTTAATTCTGACTAGGACAGTACTGTCTCTTAGGTGTACTCTTTTTATCTGCTCCTCTCTATGCATTTCTGGAAGGCTTTTAATACCCTGCAGTGCTGCAGCACTACAGCACTTTTAATTGTATTTGTATATTATATATGTGTTATGTATTGTTTCATGGCTTTGTTGTAAAGCACTTTGGGTACCTTTCGGCTATTGTAAAGGGCTATACAAATAAACTTGATTTGATTTGATTTGATAGAATCAGACCTGTTACTTGATTGATATTTTACGTTGGTCAAACTACTTCAAAATCTACTTGAATATCAAGCTGCTGATACAGTTTTAGAAAGGATTCCATGTTTGATTAAACAATAGATGTATCCGTACCTATTACCTATGAGTTTCCCTCCCTCACTACTTAAAAGATTTAATGCAGCGGTAGCGGGCTTTTTGTGGGGAGGTAAAAGACCTTGTTTGAATAGAATTAAAATGTACGCTGCAAAGGAGGACAGAGGCCTCAACCTGCCAAAAGTGGACTGGTACCACTATGCCTTTTCTCTTAATCAGCTCGCCAAAATATATATTGCAGAGGACAAAGCTCTGGGTTGGGTCCTGATTGAAAAAGAACTTACTGATCCAATGCCATTACAGGCTTTTATTTCACAACGTGGAGGATAAGTTCCATCTAGGAATCCATTATTGTTGTTTGCAAGAGAAACCTGGCAAGTATCACATCGTCTCATTGGCTTAAACCCTTCTTTTACTAGAAGGTCATCTCTATGGCATAACAAACTACTGAAAGTGGATAAAACAACTCTTTACTGGAAGTCATGGGTTGAAGCAGGGATTATTTTTATTGGGGATGTTTTCGAGGGCGATAATTTTATGGGTTTTGCACAACTGGTAACTAAATATAGAATCCCTAAGCAAGACTTTTGGAAATATTTGCAATTAAGAAGTTGTATAATGTCTGCACAACGAAAACTCCCCCTATTACCTCAAACAGAGTTACAAAAACTAGTGCAGGGAGATCAGGGGGCTACAGGTGGGGCATCTAAATATTATAGGCTTATAAAACAATCTCACCCGCCGAAACTTGAGGGTCTCAAGAGAGCATGGGAGGCAGATTTACAGGGCGAGATAATTATGGAGAAGTGGAAGGAAATAACCAGATCCTGGTATAAGACATCTAGAGAGATGCAAACCCGCTTAATTACATATAAAATCATACATAGGGTTTATTGGACTCCTTGTAAGATGGCAAGACTAAAGCTTTGTGAATCTGAGATTGCTGGAGATGTGAGAGGAGTAAGGGAACACTTTTACACATGCTGTATGAATGTGAAATGACACAAAACTTATGGGAAATAATAATATTATTCATAAACAAAGTGTTCAGGACAGAGTCCCGCTCTATGTATTTTGGGCATAATACCAGAGGGAATAGGGTTATCATTCCAGCAAACTCTATGGTGTAGATTGGCCCTTACTACGGGTTGTAGGATTGTTCTCAGACATTGGAAGTCAAAAAATATTATTCCATTTAATGAATGGATGGGAGAAATGACTATAATAGCCAGATATGAACAATTGATTTTCAGGCTGAACAATAGGGAGGAGGTATTTATGAAAATATGGGGTCCATACATGAATCTCATACGAGATAGTTGATGGGAGAAACTATGTTGATGCATTTTCATATAAACAATAAACCATGTCTTGAGTGTGACAAGAGTCTGATAAGTTGTAGGGTGGAGACTGTGAGAGTGAAGGCGTTGAGAGTGATTCTGGCAATGTGAACCATGTGCATGTAGACATATGTAATTATTTCTGTGTTTGTATTAGTTTAGTTTATGCAAGTGTCTCTTTGTGAGGAATATTATTATTATTATTTTTTTCTTATGTCAGGAATTATGTTGTTTTGTATTGTTCTTGTCATTGTTCAAGTTCAGGTTTTGTTGCACTGTTGAAAAGCAATAAAAAGTGAATTATAAAAAAAAAAAAAAAAAAAAAAAAAACAATAGATGTATCCATATCACCTCTCTTATCTTGTTTCCAGGGTCAAAGACATGTGGAATGACCAATCTACATGGATCTTTAATGACAGGAACTTGTCTACACACTGTTAAACATTACTCTTTATGATTTACAGTAAAACACTGAATGTAGAAATAACTAGAACATCACCTATGCTGAAAGATTTTATATAAATAAAGTGGCTGAGAGAAACATAAAGGCTTGTAAGTGCAACTGGACTACATACAGAATCACACTTTAATAGCATCTTAGTTGAGAACAATGAGGATACTGACACGAGGCAGCCTACAACGGTTGCTGAAGCTCACTGTTGTACTGGGATCACTATGGATGGTTTTGCGACTTGGTTTTCCTGAAAAAGGCTGGGCTCCTACCTACATTCTTAGGTACAGCTGGCTGGAGTATACAGATGCTGATGGCAGCCCAGAAAAAGTGTGCAACTGTTCAGCAATCCTGCGAGGAGAGAGGGAGGCACTGGAGCAGGCTAAATTACTGACCATCACTAAAGACTTCCACAAGAGTGTTCAGATCCCTGATGAATATTATATCAATGCAACCCAAGACTGCAGGTGTGTTGCTTTAAACTACAGATTAAACTCTAAGCTATTGTTTAAATCTAATGAATTTTTAAAGGACCAGTGTGTAGGATTTAGTGGCATCTAGCAGTGAAGTTGCAGATTGCAACCAACTGAACACCGCTCGTTTCAGTATTTGATGACCTGGAAATGACAACGGCTGTGAAGTGTGTTTGAGAAACTATGGTGGCTGCGAAAGTTGTGAAAAGCCATTCTGAGCTTCTGTAGAAACATGGTGGTTCAACACAGCCTCCATGGAAGAGGACCCACTCCCTCTGTAGTTAAAGACGGCTCATTTTAAGGTAACAAAAACACAGAAAATCTTATTTTGAGGTGATTATCCACTAGTGAAAATGTACCAATGAATATTAGATTCCATATCTGCCAATAGATTAGATTAGACTAAATGTTACACACTGGACCTTTAACAGACATTTGTTAGGCAGAATTCCCTTTGGTGTTGATTCAATTTTATTTATATACAGCCAATTCAAGCTGAGCAGGAAATACTTACCATTCCCATTAAGTAAGGAAGAAGAGGACTTCCCACTGGCTTACTCCATGGTTGTGCACAATAAGGTATGCACATTCAAAATTAAAATTAACTTTAAGAATGGTGTGGTAATAGTCTAAATATTTCACTTTAATCATTTATTGAAGAGGCACTCCTCCAGTTCAGTTTAAATGTCATACTGAGTGATTCTCTGTCTGTGAAAACAGATGTGTAATGTTTTCCTCCTCTGGAAGGAGCTTTGCAAAGTTGGAAAAAAAAAAGGTATTTATTTATTTCAACTTGGTCTTGAGATTTTTTTTAAATCTGAAAGCCTGTGTTTCAAACTGGTAGTGTGCAGTTTGAAAGAAGTGGGCATTTCAGAGACAATGGCATATAATGAAAGCTGCATTATGGGAAGTGTAGGATCCAGCATTTATGAAGTTGCCTCAGGACAATAAGTCAGGATATCTCAGCCTCTGCTGCCTAAATCTTTACCATCTTTTAGAATCAGTCTCTTGTGAGTCCCCAAACTTTATGGAAGAAAAAATTAGGTTGTTGGAGTGTACCTTTAAATGGATCCAAAAAGAAAGCAAATATATGTAACAATAAGTATTTGAAATTTGAATTTTTTTCCCCCCACAAACTCTAGGTGCAGAACTTTGAGCGACTGCTGCGAGCCATTTATGCGCCTCAAAATATTTATTGTGTCCATGTGGACAACAAGTCAGAGGCCTCAGTCTTCTTTGCCATCCAGGCCATTACTTCCTGTTTCGAGAATGTCTTCATGGTCAGCCAGGCTGTGAATGTGGTCTATGCTGCCTGGCCACGCGTCCAGGCTGATCTTAACTGTATGGCTGATCTCTACAACGCCAGCACCAAGTGGAAATACTTCATCAACCTTTGTGGCCAAGATTTCCCTCTGAAAACCAACTTGGAGATTGTGAGGAAGCTGCGTTCACTGAAGGGCGCTAACAGCTTGGAGTCGGAAACAATGGCTGGAGAAAAGAAGTGGAGGGTGTCAAATGTTCACCAGATAGTTGATGGGGAAATAAAGGTAGCTCCTTTGGAGATTTTCAAATTTTTCATTGTTCAGATTGACCTTAATGACCATCACCATCATATTAATTCACTATTTCATCTGTCCCAGGGGATAGGAAAGGCAAAGGAGCCTCCTCCATTCAACCTGCCCATTCTGTCAGGAAATGCCTACATTGTAGTTAATCGAGGCTACATCCGCAGTGTGTTGGAGGACAACCGAGTACTGGCACTGATCGAGTGGGCCAAAGATACCTACAGTCCAGATGAGTTTCTCTGGGCAACCATTCAGCGAATCCCTGGTGTTCCTGGCTCAAGGTGGCCCAACCACAAATACGACATGACAGACATGAATGCGATTGCACGGCTGGTGAAGTGGCAATCGCATGAGGGGTCACAGGGTTCACTGGAGGCGGTGTACCCAGAGTGTCATGGCACCCATGTCAGGGCAATATGTGTGTATGGTGCTGGAGACCTGCAGTGGATACTTGAGCAGCATCACCTCTTTGCCAATAAGTTTGACATAGACACAGATCCCATTGCTGTCTACTGCTTGGAGAAATACCTTAGACAAAAAGCACTGGCTGAGTTACTTTAGATCTATTGTATAATTTTTCTGCTGTAAAAATAATACAATTTTAAAGGTATATTTAAAATTATTTATATGTCCATTGTAATAAAAGCCTTAGTAAACTAACAAATCTGACTTTCTGTTTTAAAAAACAGAAGTCAGTGTGGGCATCGCACTTCTGATTATTGTGCAATGTCCATTCTGTGCATTGGTGTTTTTGGAAAGACACTTGAGGAGAAACACATCTTTAATGCAGTAAAACATTTTACAACAAATGAATACCTTGCAAGCCACAAACAAATGTATACAAATAAGCTAAGAAAAGTGAAAAGTAAACACACCCCAACCTGCACAGTAGGCACAGGTATACTGTACCTCTCCAACATCAGTCAACATATAGAATTTCTTTGTCACTCTCCAACAACTTCTCGCACTCACTTTTACACACACACACACACACACACACACACACACACACACACACACACACACGAAAACCAAGATAAACCATGATAAGGAGTACGATTCTGCCTTCAGGTGAGTAATCAGATCAGAGCAATCTTAAACTGTAGCAACTGAAAGCATGCAACACATTACTGCAGCTACTGATAACTGCTATTTTGCTACCTTGATGATATGACGTTGCAAGTATTTTCACAGTGACATACAGTGTTAATAGAACAGCCTACTGACAGCCTCTTAAATATTGGATGAGATGTGAAATTAGATGGTGATATAATACAAAAACCCACTGTGACAGGAGCCGCCTACACCGTCGTAAACTATTCAAAAACCAGCTTGCCTTAACATTACAGTCTATTGACAGAGCTACAGTACAGTCACATTCAAATTGTCCAGGGAACACAAATGTTTATTTGTGAGCAGATGGGCGGTAAAATAACTTCTGTTTGCATGTATTTGATTATTAGATGAAAAAGCCTTGCTACGGGTTTAGATAATCCACACTTATTACCATGGGTTACAAAAGATACAGATGGCAACTGACAGGGGAGATACATGAATGTAACAAAGTCAATTAGTAATCCCTCCACAGTGAATTATATACGAATCAAACTATTGTTCAAATTAAAGATGAGGTCATAAAAAAGAAGCAAAAGCTACTGAATGGGGAACACAATCAAGTGCTGTATAACATACAGTAGTACAGGATAAAGCATCTTCCCTTCAGTACAGCGACAGTCTCTGCACTGTAAATACAGTATTATGTTCCCCTCAGGTTGGTGCTTTCTTCAATGAACAAGCAACTGCCTGATGCTTTGTACCACATCATCTTCCTTTCTAACCCAGTGCTAGTTGTTGGTGTAACAACTACGTGCCATACACATCATGCCGCAGGCTGGCTTATATTCAGATATGCTGTGGTAGAGTACAGCATAATGCAGGGAGAAGATAGGCAGCAGCCAGGTATCTTGCAATTGTCAAACAACAGAGTTCCCCTTCTTGTCGGCTCTGAGTGAAAGATGAAAGAAAAATACTGTTGTCACATCATACAGTAAATGTAAGTCATGAAGTGCACGCCTCTGCTAACACTGTAAACTAGGCAAGTTGCAGAGGATTTTATGACTGTAACTGAAATGGGACATGAAATATGCCTATTGCCATTCTAAATACCTTTTTAGCCACTCACTACAGCAGGCACTATGACTTTGTGACACTGTACACTCAGAAATCAGCCCAGCGTTTCTTTACTACTACTACACTGGTAGTCATGAAACGCATTAGCACTGTATTTTTATGACATTTGGAACAGCAGTTATGTGTAAACTCTGTCTTGATCTCTCCATTGTCAGTATGTCGGCAAATTCTATTTGTTCATTTCTGAAAAATTCAGCAGTCATTTTGTTCTTTGTGTCTGTTAAATTCACCAGTTCACAACGGCCTACTACTTACTTAGCTGCTGTGTCTTGCAATTCTGTATCCAGTCTGATTTAGCATTGGGTTGGAAGGTAGAGAGCAAAGGTTAGTGAGGGAGGTAAACAACAGACGTGGAGCTGGGCTGGGGTGGAGGTGGGGGGTGGGGGGTGGGGGGTAGGTTTTTGTGAGTACACATGCAGTTGCTTGGGATTAATGACTTCTATCAACATTGCCATAGGGAGGTAAATGGAAGGAAAGGAAAACAAGCATCAGTGCTCTAAAGTGGGAGTGTTTGAGGTCAAAGGAGTGGTGCACAGATGCACTGCAATGCATAGGGTGCAATCATTTTCCAACAATAAACCAGTCAAAGAGTCAATATTTTACCCGTGAACACTTTTTTACAAGCACCGGGTCAAAGTAAATCTGTACTTCTCATACTTGATACGTGCTCAGTCACTGGCACAAGACATTGCCGCTTAGATCACAGATAGGATTAAAGTTTGAATTAGGTAGCTTTAATTTTTCTCTCTACTCTATTTCCACCAAAACATCAGCAAGTGTGTGTTTGTTCTTTTTACACTAGATCTGGATATAAATGGCTAAATAGGAAATAATCATACATAAAATCTAATGTATAATAGATTATATGGCATTATATATTCCACAGAGACTGTCCTCACCAGAAAAACAATAGCATTGGTCATATGTTCTAATGTTTATCTCTAGAGCCAGTGTTTGGTTTGTCCATTCTGGGCTACTGTAGAAACAACTGTAGATATAAAAGGCTCATTCTTATTTTCAGGTGATTGTACACTAGTGAAAACATAATAATGCATATTATACTCCATTTCTGCCAATAGAGCCTCATTAACGTTACACACTAGACCTTTAACCAACAAATTTTATTTTTCCTAAACTTGACCACCCCTTTAAGCCACTATACGTAGGATTTGAACATTTTTACTTTGGGGCAGTCTGGTGGTAGTATTGATAAAACCAGACAAATATGTACACTGCAACCCTGATGATTTTATTTTAGTATTTGCGGTTACTGGTGACTGCTGTTTGATAAAAAAGCTTTGTGTTAATAGTTGAAACTCATCTCACTGGAATATACTGTTAGCGAGCTGCAGTCAAAATACTGTACCTCATATTCTTTTGTACTGTAGGAATATTTAGTCAATTATGAGAAAGTTTAGTCTGTAGTACTGGTGTATTGCACATAAATTATTATTCTTCAATAGCAAAACATCAGACCAGCACAGTTGTGGGACTGACTGTGTATATTTTTGGTTGTTTTTGCAAGCTACCTCAGGGTATATGTTCATTAGATTTCTACTAAAATGTCACAGATGAGGGTTGAAGTGCACCAATTTACAGGGAAAGCCACATGACAGGCTGAGAGGTAAGAAAATCAATATCTGGCTTATTTCATGTTGGATGAGGAGACAGCCAAAGGTCAGTCAAAGGTTAGTCCCAGCATGAGAAAATTCGTACTAGCTTTGAAGGATCTTTCAGGGAAGATTTTACACAACCAACTGATCAATACAGGCAGGTTAGGTGAGTTACCTCATGCATGCAAATTTGTGTATACCCCTCTCCTCGTCATACCTTGGGGCAGAGTGAGAGATATATAAGCATGCCTAATTTAGGCACTTCAAATAAAAGTTTGCACTGAGTTTGTTTCCCTTTTCCAAGGAGAAATTCAATGTGTATTGTGTGTAACTCTGCTAAAAAAAAAGAAAGAAAGCATTTGGCTCTGTGACGTGATTACAGCAGAAATTTGTATTTGTCATTGACCATGGCCTTAACACCTAGGAAGGACAAAACACACAAAAATATCTGAAGATAATTATGCCTCATGTCTGCAGTCTCACATAAACTGTATATATTAGGTTTATGTATTTTTTAGTCCACAAACAGCTGCTGGAAACAAAATACTCTACTAGTTGGTGTAGGCAAGGCAAGGTAACATGGTTCATGTGTCACACTATGGAGACCATGATGCCTGCCACTTAAAATAAATAAAAAGGGCAGGGTTTCCTGGTATTTATTGGATTTTTTTGAAAGCTTACAATACCACTCAATGACAAACTGCTTTTACATGAGAGAAAAAGTCAGTGTGTAGATAGTATTGTTTCCAGCTTGTGTGGCCACCAAAGAGTGAAGTACAGATTCATATATTAAATATTGATACAAGGTGACTCACTTGACAATGCTGGGTGGAATGTGGACATACTCCATTGGGATGATTTCTCCAAGCTCCTGCAAACTATTCACATACTTGATCTTACTGCTGAACTTGGAGCTGTAAAAAAACAGAAATAAGAAACAATCAAGTAATAGGGAAAGTTGACACCTATATTTTCCTTATCAAACTGTCGGGACACTATTGGGAATAGGACCAAAGGGTGTCGTATCTTGGTTTATGGTGGTGTTAATAATATGGATGCACAATAAGGTTTTTTTTCCCACACCTGATACGAAAACTGTTTATTACCTGCTTCTCATGGCAGATAACGATATATAATACTGATAGGGTAAGAAAGGTTTTACATGTAGTGAGCAAAGATGGATGATTTCATTTTCCACAGCTCTGTTCTAGTCAAATCTAACTGACTATTCACTATTGTTAACACCACAACAAACAGCAGTTCTGACTCTTCAAATGTTAATTTATTGTTAAGTTAATTAGAAAACTTCACAACATTCTTTGGCTTTCATAGAACATAAAGCTAATCAGTCGTTTTGCATAAGAATTCAAAATAAGTTATTATCAGTATCAACCGATAATTTATCAGATGTAATTTAATTATCACGTTAATTTAAAATAATATGAATTTTCCATTCATTTATCTGCCCACGATAATTATCGTGCATCCCTAGTTAATGAATGACAAGATACCCTCTGATGTACATCTTGTCCTGTGCAATGTGTGTTCTACAGTTCAGAGCGTCATCTAAATGTGAAGTACAACAATGAGACCTTATGAAGGGTCTGGTGATTCCCAGCAAAGTCCGTATGAACCAGGAGGGATGGACAATGATGAACATCTTAAGGTTTTTCTTCAGTCTGTGGAACAAGAGGAGAGGCACAAGTGGTGTAAAAAGATTAGTAAGAGCTTAATTAATAACTATAACTTATTCATTATTACCAATTACTGCTTCCAGATCTAACGTACACTTTAGAATAGGAGTACAATGACGCTCATAGTGAAGTTGTTCAGCTTTAGAAAGTTAAAAACAGCATGAGTAGTCTGGTGAGTGAACATCAGAATTATTATTATAAAGTTATTCTTTATTCATTATTCTTGGACCAGGGTAGCAGCTATTATGGCAATAGCATATCCGTGCTGAGCTCCAATGATTTTATTGTATTTACATTTCTTTTGAGTGAGAAATGTATACTCCAGTGAAACTCAACGCAAGTTCAGTCAGACTATCTTCATACCTCACTGACAACTCTCACTCCTCTTCTTCATCAGCTGACTCTGGGTATTTACTCTGTCGGTTAAACCAATCAGACTGTGCCAAGATCTGCTCCAGCCAATCATGCTGTTACTGTCAAACTTTGAATCTTTGAAAAGTATTGTCCATGGTATATACACTTTATGTTAACAGTCCCACAATGCAATGCATTTTACAGATGTGACAAAAATCAGTGATGACTGAAAATGAAGATGATTCATGAGTCTCAGAATTTTACTATTTTACAATTTTAAAATCTACTGCTCACTATGGAGTGAACTACTGACTGTATATTATAAAGGGAGAAGTGAATGAATGAACGAGGAAGTGATTTCTGACACAATGATCAGTAACGTCACTACAGTCATAAGGTAATGACTTAATCATACACATTGGCTGAATATTAGAAAGGAAGGTTTATGTTTATCCCAGTCAGTTAGTTGGTGAAAAACTAAGATCGTGTGCCCCCTACTGGCCTACCTATGATACTGTTGAATAGTGATGGGACTTGTGTCCAAATTAGAAAAACAATTATCAACCATGACTGAGTTATAGTCATTTCTTGAATCACAATGAAAACCTACTGATACAAGCAAATCAGCAATATTTTATACATATAAACTCTTTAATTCTTTAAATTGATATAGAGTAAGTAATCTTTAGACTTTTTGTAAGTCTCTCTTTTCTAAGGAGCACTTATAAAAAGTATTGCAAAGGGGAGATTTAATTCTTTATTCACTTTGCTTTTGATTTTTCTTTGTATTTAAACAAATTTGAATTCTAACAAATTCTTCTTTAAACATTCTGCATAATATAACAATGTAATATAATGTAATTTACAGAGAAAAAAAATTATGGTTATTTGAGACAAATACATTTTCTAAACTGTTTGATGTCAAAGTTCAAAAGTGTTTTGTGAAAAAAGAAAGGTGGAGATAGTGGTTTAATGTGGTTGGGAACCATGTGTGTGTTTGACAGTACATATACAATATATTACACATTACAGTTGCTGTGCAACTGTTGTCTTGTGTGAGACTTACCTTCTGTCTATCATTTGATAGCATTTTTTCATCCAGGTAAAGCCAGGCATCCTCCTGCGAGGGGTGGCACCATTCAGGTAAACAATCATGTAATCTTCTGCCACCATTAGTTCCAAGGTACTTATTACATACCTACACAAACAGAAAACACTGTGAGATGAGCATGTTAACATATGCTGGCTTTTACAAAAGCCACACTAACAATTTTATGCTTAACTGAATGGTGTCCACATTTAATTGTGTAGTTTTGCAGTCAATGCAGCATACCATGATATTTTACACAAAAGATTGCTTCTAACTTTGTGGAAATAGTTTGCAGAAGGCCCATTCCTGTTTCAAATGCACAATGCTTGCATGCACAGGTCCATAAAAAAAGAGTTTTCATTGTTTGGTGTGGAGGAACTTGACTGACTTGACTTTAACCCTATCTGAAACCTTTGGGATGAATTGGAGCACAGACTGCAAACCAGACTGTTGCTGACTTCACAAGTGTTCATATAGCCACATGAATGGGAGCAATTCCCGCCAGCCTGGATCTAAACTCCTGTTCAAGAAGGTTGTTATTGAAGCATATTAATAGGTTTAATGTTCAGGTTTCTACATAACCTGGTTAAATGTCCGCACATATCTGATCCCGTAGTATAGCTTTACTTACAGGAAAAGGTTTTCCATTACATAATTGTAATTATCACAGTTGCTGTCCGGTAGGAAACATGCTGCAAACACGATGATGGCATTCTGTTGAGCGTAATAACCTGAAAACATAAAACATAAACACAGAAATGAAGCTTACAGTACGTCTAACTTACAGTGCGCATATGTACAAACCTGTGCTTTCATCCGGTATGAAACTATTCTCTCAAAAACAGTTGAAATGCAAAAAAAATATTGGTCTTTGTCTACACACTGATGATGGAAAAGAGGGTGAGGGGGAAAATTCCATGTGTGTCATTAGTTTCTAAACAAGGCCATTTTGAGATAACAACACACTGCACATTTCTATTGTAGCAGTTTTTAACATTTAGCTGGGATTGATTTACTGTATGTTCAGGGAAATCAACTGTTCTGATCATATCTCTAAAAACCACTCTTCCCCCTTTCACTATGTAGTTACTTTGACTGTATTACAGAGTTGACGGACATTCAAATTCCTTGAAATCGGGTCGAGTCTCCCTCTCTTGTTTCGTCTTTTATGTTAATTTTGTCGTTTTCACCATGTTGTGTCTGTTTTGCGTAATATGTACCGGTCTTGATGTTGGGAAGGCATGCAATGATGCACAAAAAACATTATAATCAATAATTTCCCTCAAATTCTTTAAAAATAAAGTAATGAGCCCGTCTTAGTCCTAGTCTTCTGACCACTCAAAGTGCTTTACACTACATGTCACATTCACCTTTTCACACACATTCATACACTGATGGCAGAGGCTACCAACTGCTCATCAGAAAGTCACTTCAGCAAAAAAGTGAAAAAACAGCAAGATACAACAGAAAGGGGAGAAAAGGGAGGGAATCATTAGAGAAAGTGGCAGGCATGGATTTTAAGAATTTGTGCTTGCGTACCTCCATGAGAAATGACTCTTTTGTATGGCTCAATGCACTTCATATCAATGCGATGCTCCTGCTCTCCAATCACCACGCTCCTCCACAGCCTGCTATCCCTGCTCTCCTCAGCTGCTCCTGCGATAGCATCACTTGATGCTGCTCCTGCACCCAGATTAGACTCTTCTGAGTCCTCTGTTTGTGACACAAAGACAGTGGATGTCAGCATTAAGTTTTACAAGACAACATAACAACACAGTGTGTTTGTTTGTCTGTCCTGTGTGCACGTTTGTATCGTATCTTCAGGTGTCTGTCTGACCATGTAAGTCGGCCTCATCAGGCGTGTCCAGATCCAGGTCATCACCAGTATCCAAGGCCTCGTCCTCTGTGTCCAGGGCATCTTCTGAGAGAAGAGACCCCTCACTCCGGTCCAGTGACACATTTATTGGTGGAGCTGCCAACTTTCTCCTTTGGTTGGACCCGCCTGAGAGATCCACAGAGGAGGGTGGATCTGCTCAAAGACAGATGGTTTAATTTTTAGTTTCTGAATTTGTTTTAGATAGGGTAAGTTGTAGATCCACTGTAATTTCGCCTCATATGACTATATTACATTTCTATAGATTGTTGTGAGAGCACACTAAAGATTTAAAATAACAATCTAAGTTTAGATAAATTGCTTGTTTATTTACCTTCTCTGTTATCCATCTCCTCAGCAGCTTCCTCACTGGAGGCCATTTTCATCATCATCCCAGGCGCACCGTCTCCCTGTTGGGAGTGTCTGCTCAGAGGCACAGAAATACAATAATGAGCCACAACATAAATTATCATCGCTATCATCACTGCCACCATTAGCACAGCTACGCATAGTATTGGGCCAAACAAGCCAAAGACAATCATCTACAAAGAAAGAGAATCTAACTTTTCCCATGACACTGAATAAAATCTGTTCATTTGACTCCGGACATAAAAGATTACAGAAGTGACAAAGCAGACAGAGAAAGCGACTCACTGCTTCATTCCCAGGCTGCACGTGTGGGCTGGGGAAACAATACTGAGCAGTGTTGCTACCTCCCCCCAACCAAAGCCCCTCTAACAGACTCTGATTAACATAAGGCCTAACAATAGAGAGAAGCAGTACAGAAAAACCAGTACACATGAATACAGACACAAAGACACACATATACCCATCTCTGTCTTAGGATACCTACCTTTCCCCACCCTGTGTATTCTCCCAGCATGAGGGACTCTTTCCACAATCAAGTCACATGTTTATGGAAAGATCTGCTGTGTATGTACGCAAACCCACTCACACACACACACACACACACAGTAAAGGACAGGGGAGGGTCGTGTATCCTGAAGGGGGGGGGGGGTCATCAGAATTACAAAGTAGGGCAAAACAAGTGCCATGGTGGAAATGCTAACAGGGAACAATTAAACTGCAGTGTACATACACATCGACACACATACATGCGCACACATACGTAGTTCTTCTATTCAAGTAAAGACTTTTGATTTGGACTTTTGAGAAAAAAACATATAGACAGCTTTGGTACAAAGAAAATTTTGAAAGAAATCTAAAGAACTGATCACAGTTTTAAACTGATCTGTGCTGCCCCTTTGTGGTGAAAGACAGTAGTGCAGCTTTTAAGCTTTGGAAAAGCTTTGCAGATCCAGTTCATCTCTCTCTCTTTCACACAATTATATATATATAATCATGTTTCAGCTTTTAAGAAAGACCAGTGAAAGAAAATCTCTATCTGAAATTACATTGTCTTGCTGAGGCTAGCTTGCAAAGTGGATGGGCGTACCAGTTGTACATATCATTAGATTCCACACAGCACTAAGAATTAAAGTTGCTGAACTGAAAGCAAAATTGAAAGCTCACCTTTCCAGGAGAAAGTGAACATATTCCTCCGGCACATATCGCGCATGATCTTCCCTCTCAGGGTGGGCATGCGATTGGTAGAATGGCTGTGCATCAAGCTGGTAATGGGTGTGGTCAGACTCATACTGACCCTGGCCATCAGCTTGATACTGAGAGCACTGGAGTTCAGAGGCGCACATGGAGTTAGAGTCATCTCCATACTGGCTTTCAGCTATATATTGAAAACTGGAACCTGGATCATCCAAGCTGTACTTGGCTTTAACTTCAGGTTCATAATAGCTCTCAGCCTGCTCAGATCCGTAATGTGTAGCTGTGGTATCAGTTGTAAACTCAGCATAGACATCTGTGGTGTTTGGCTGGTTGTTGGATTTAGCATCTACACAGGCTGGGTGGGTGCTCTGGTTTTCAGTTCTTTGGTCAATGTGGTGGTAGTTGTAGCCATATTGGGTTTGACCCTGAGTTGCATTCTGACTTCCTGTCCACTGGTATGCAGCATTTTCATTGGTTGGCTGGGAGGAAAACTGTGATGCCACATCTTGGTGTCTTCTTTTAAGGGGACAAGGGATGGGGGATCAGTGCAGAGAGGAGAAATTCAGAAAGAATTGTGAATACAAATGGTATGCAGTGACCCTCATGCATCTGCCTGTAGGCTGTGAATGTTTTTAATGTTTACATTTTGGGGTTCTACTAGAATGAATATATCAAACACACACTGCCCAGTATACTGAAGAAATGTGTGTTCTTCAGCATGTTCAATACAGGGTGAGTTAAACTATTTGAGGTACACATTAAAGCATTTTGACCACTAGTAGCACTATGGAGCCATGTTTTTACATGGGATCCCCATTTCATTTGTTCTCATGAAAACGTACGAGGACACACACGCTTTCACATAAGCGTGCAAGTGTTGTGATATACTGTACATTCCTGTCATTATTATATTAATTGACAGGTGTTGGTAATGTGCCAGGAAAAGCAGCAAAAGCAGGGATAAAGAGGACTGCTACCAAGGAAAACATGGATGTTTCAAACATTACAAATAAATCTGTTTTTCAAATATTTTCTGAGGAAGGAAATGCTTTCAACACAGTTATTAGATCTCAAGGACACGCACAATGTGATTTAGGGAGGAACACAGAATGTAAACTGAGTTTGTTTACAAGAAAATTCTCCAGGGTATATTTAACAATGTTTAGATGCACAACAACTGGGTGAAATAAAATTCTGCTATAGAACTCAACAACAAATGCCATTCACATAAAGCCATACCTTGTAATATTGCCTGCAATAATAAAAAGAGCAGTAAACAATCTGCTTCACATACAGCATAAACAATTACACCAAAACAATATAACAAAATAAACAACATAAGTATGTACTCTTTGCGAATGTAAAGTTGAAGTTGCTTGGACAAACTTTTATTACCTGATATGTTGCGTATTACCTATGCACACACTCACACACAGGTTTGCCTGCACACTCACACCCACACCTTGTAAGAGCGCTAGGGGAGCTGTTTCCATTAGCTGTGGTGGGGCTCCAGCTGTAATGAGGCAGGTAATGCATATTTAATGAGGCGTAAACAGATTTATAAACACACACGAGCTGCAGATCAAAGCTTGCTGCCAAACACATGAAATACACGCACACACATGCACATGTTTGTTTCTTACTCATACACACACAAAAATAGAGACAAATAATCTCTTTCTGTCACACCAGTAATATTTATTCTCACATCCTCTCTGTCAATCCCAGTCTGTCACTCAACGATACAACATACACACACACACATAGATAATCAGAATCAATTCCTCAGGAGGGCCTTCTAGCTCGATTTCGACAGTCTGTTCAGCGATGCTAATGTTCCTCTGACGTACAGACTCCAATGAGAAAGCTGTAGAGACTCAAAAACCCAAGAACTAAGGGAGAGTGTGGGGAGGGGTGGTTGGCACGTGTGTATGTGTGTGAGTGTGTGTGCAGAACAGGCACATGTGTGCATATGCATGCATGCATGTTGAAGTGGTATAGCAGTAAAATAGCACAAAGCTTGAGTCATAAGAATATAATTTGAGGTGCATCGCTTACCTTGAAACGGGTGAACAGCTATCTTGAGAAGCTTCATGGTCTCCAATCTGTTGTTCAGTTGACCATTTATCACAATCAACAGTCCCAATAGGCTGTTCATCATAGTAATCCGCTGTATTATGTAGGAATTTGTCCCTCTTTGGCTCAAATGGTTGTAAATCTGTTTGTTGAAATGAAGAACTTCCAATCAGTTCCTCTGTGAAACTTAACAGGTCAGAAGATCTCAATTGTTGTCTTTCTTCCCTCTCACTTTGCACTTCTGACGTATATTTTGGCAGGGTAGTGTGCTCTGTATCAGTTTCCTCCTCCTGCTCTTCATCATCATTCTCCTCTTCCATTAAATCTCCAGAAAATGGTAATCCCAGTCCTTTTTCAGTAGAAATTCCAGATTCACTTAATGGGGTACCAATCAAAGAGCTGGTGTGGGACACCGAACTGTTGGTAAGTACAGGAGACTGTGGTTCAGATGTGGTTTGAGATGTGTCCTGCCTCGCTAACTGACCCCTCCAGACTTGAATGTTGCCCAAAGAAGTGGGGCATGGTGGGGGTGCAGAGGGTGACTGCCCACCCTCATCTGAATCTTCCATTGAGATCTGTGAATGAACATATACTTCCTCTCTGGTTTTCAGGAAGTGATCTGATGGATATCTTAATGAAGGAGAAACACTTCTAGCTACAATGGTTGATTTATCATCATAGTATCCTTCTTCTACTTGTGTTTGACTGCAACCTGTTGGTCTTGAATCTGACTTGTGAAAAGCTTCAGAGTTATTTTTTGATTGGCTGGGAGTGATCATTTCTGGCACGTTATGATGCTCAGTGGCACTATCAAGACTTGTTTTGTAATAAGTGGATAAGACATCTTGCTTTTGCTCTGTATCTGCACTAAGTGCACTATCAGTACCTCTGATTATTTGGTTTTGCCTACTTTGTTCTGTGTTCTCCTGATGCTCTCTATGTGCAGCTTGGGCCTGGGTTTGCAGTACTGTGGCAGCATAGGAAAGCATGCTAAATGTCTCCATGGACTTTCTTGTTCTTTTTGATTGCCTGTCACCTTGTTTAGGTCTGTCGTGCCACTCTCTCTCAGTTTCTTTTACTATGCCAGATACAATGATGTATTCCATTTCTAGGCCTGATGATGAATCTCCATCAGAATTGGACTTGAGTTCATCTCTACTGCCTGGGTGAAAGCTGTCGGGGCTATACTTCATTGTGTCTCTCTCCCCTCCAGAGCTTGAGCTCAGAGACATGGTTTCTGTTGTTCTACCGTCCACACGTCCAATGCTCCCATTGTTAGGATCATATTGGCTTTCAGTGACAGGCTCATCTTCATTGTGGGCCATTGTGATTGGCAGATCATGTGATGAAGTTGATTCAGAGCCATCATGATTCTTGTAAACAAGATTGTCCCAATTTACAAGGCTTGCGGATAATGATTGGTCATTCTGTATTTGTGTCTCAGTAGCTTCTCCTGATCTTGAATGATGATTGGCTGAAGTGGCCTGAGTGACAATGGAGTAGTCCACCAGATCAAATGGGGAGTGATCCCTTGGTTGCTCTATCCAATCAACTTCATCTGATCCTTCTTCACTTTTGTCATATCTACTTTCAATTGAACTTCCCCCACTCCTGATCATCTGACCCAACTCACTAGTTCCTTCGAATAGAAACACCTGGTTGGCTGGCTGTTCTTTGTCTGAAACTACTGTTCTGTATTCAGTCTTTCCCAAAGGATCAGCCTTCTGGTATTGATCATGCCTCTCGTCTATATGAATAGGTTTTGTCACATCTACAAAAGGGCTAGACTGCCCGTCTAACTGTATCATGTCTACAATGGGACTAGCATAGGTCTCAGGGGAGGATGTCAGGCTCCAAGTGCCAGCTCCTACATTGTCATATTCTGAAGTGGAGGTGACCATGCCAGGGACAGGTAGGTCCCACATGTCAGTACCCTGGTAGGAGGAAGAATCATCTTCTGAATGTTCAGGTGCCAAGTTTTGCAAGACAGACTGTTGGCTCTCAACACTCTGGATGTCACTGTCACCTGTTTCTGCACCATGTGTTCTACTTTCAGCCTCCTCTATGACTATTTTCACATTATGTTCAGTACCTCTCCACCCCACTTCTTCGAGAGTCTGACTAAGCACTTTATTTATACCTCTCTTCTCCTCTATAGCTTTTTCTTCGTCCACCTGTTTGTTAGCATGTGTCTCAGGAGAATCACCGGTATCCAATGATCCCATGTGACTGAGGTCCTTTCCATTTTCAGGTCCCTCGGGGCTTGTTATTGTGGAAGAGGTGTCTTCCTGTATGGTGGTGTTCCACATCACCATTCCACCATCAGAGAATCCTGGTGGACTTTCCATAGATGTGCCAGCCCCAACATTGGTGTTCACTCCACTGAAAGAAGCTGAAGTTTCAGACAAGTTGTCAGGGGTCGTGAGAGGTGATAGACTGTCATCTCGGATTGTCATATTCCACATATCTAGTGATTCAGGGTAAGATGTTGTGGTTCCGCTATCTGATTTGAGAAATCCCTTCTGAGCTGAGTATGTCCAGAAGTCTAGGAGCTCCATCTGTCTGTCTCCTTTTTTTCCTTGTACCCCTTCATCCTCTTCTTTAGATGTGTCAGGCGTTAAAGTGTTTAGGGCTGCTTTCTTTCTCAACACTGAGGATGTTTTTTCTTTCGCTCCAATGATACCTGCCCTGCATTTTCCAGTTACTTCCTCCTCTGGTGGTGTCAATTGCAGAGAAGCCAAAGTAACAGGGTTCCATCGATCCTTAAGTACAGAGTCTGGGTTCCAGTTGTCATATAATTCAGTTTGCTCAGTGATCAGGCTAAGCTGGGGTTCGAGGGTCTTTCCCCTCTGGTGGGTGTTCTCTGACTGTAAGATCTCTTCTGTGCTTTCTCGTTCTGTCATATCATCAACTGACTCTTTCCCTCTTACTTCATCCACAATTTCAGGTTCCTTGGTCCTATTCCAGGCAGTATTATCACTTGAGGACAATGTTCCAAGTGTGTCAAAGCCAAGTTCATCCCAGGTCTCGGACAACGACGATGACACACTGTCCTTGTGCTGTAGGCCACTGATCCTTTCAACCACATCTTCTGGAAAGAACCTGACCCCACAACTGCTGGGTGGGCGGCTACCTACTACACTGTTGACTGGCGTTGGAGGAACCACAGTGTCAATCATGTCATGCCCATGGATTTGACCCTGGTGGTCAAGTCCACCCAATGAATTGGGAGCAGAGAAATCCAGCAAGCTCAGCTCTTCAAGTTCTGAAAAGCTGGAGCTATCTGCTCTTCTTTCTCCTTCATCTCCTCTTACTCCAGAAATTGCTATTTCTCTTCCTGTTGGCATAGACTGGTCACTGCTATGTAGTGGGTCAAAACTAAACAGGTCAAAGTTGTCACTCTTATTTCTGCTAGAGCGGTGCTTCCTCCTCTCAGGGGGGACAGGAGGAGAAAGGGATGATAACCCCAGGGGAGATGGGTTTCTCAGGAAGAGTCCTCCTGGCCCTGTTCCTGGCCCTCCTCCTGCTATAACTTCACCAACTGGGCTGTCATCACTGAGGAACACTGAACTTTCCTTGGATGAACGGCTGCTGCGGATGGTGGTCATACCGCTGTCAGGGCTCACAAGCTCCCCGCCAGCACCAACTCCTACACCTCCTGTGTCCTCTTCGCCATCAGCCATCACCCTATAAACATACATAAAACAACACTGTTATTGAATTGTATCAACCTAATGTCCATGAATAAATAGTATTCAATCTCAGTCCTGATTTCCTTTTTGATGACTAAACTATATGAAACAAATTCAAAGGAATGCACTTAATTACCTTGCTATTGCCACCACATCTCCACTGCCTCCCTCGGCTCTCTCTACATCAGAACCATCCATGTCATTGATACCAGATGATCCCTGGGAGAACTCCACGCTGCCTGCCACTCCATCAGTGGAAGAGGTCCTACTGCTGGGGTGGCAGGCTAATATAGAACTTCGCCTGTCAACAAAGTCCTTGAGGAGGCCCTGTATTTCTTCTACCAGCAGAGGAGGAGTACCAGAAGATAAGGAGGTGTTTATAGGGATGTGGTATACCTGGAGACTCTCCCTGGTCTCCAGTTCACCAGAAAGACACCAGCTGAAAGACTCTTCCAACTCACAGCAGATCTGCAATGAAAGCCATTGTTTTGGAATATTTTGTTTTTCTATTTTGTGTTATCAACCTTCTCATCTCACTCAGGAAAGCAAATATCCTAAAATGTTAAACTATTGCTTTTTATGCATTGTATTATTTCTGGAAAGGCTGACTGACTAATGTAAGGACTTAATGACAATCTTGCCTAATAAGAAAGACTAACCTGTGTTGTCGCTTAGCATCCTCACCAGAGCACTTTACCCAAACTAAAAGCCTCTCAACTCACCTACTGTCAAGTTGCTGTTGTGTTAGTTTGATAACTTAACAGAGGAAAAATCATATCTAGGAATTCAGGAAAATTGACAAATAAATGAGAGTCATTACAATGCCTATTTCCACCTACCAGATTTATAAATAGAGTTCAAAGAAGCATTTGTGTTTCACTTTTGAATTATTATCGGTTGCTCTGTTTGTGGTCTTGCATTTTATTTACCTGGTTAAGGATATCTGTGTTGTTTGAGTAGACAGCCACCTGCTGGCAGGGATGATGAAGTGTATCACTGATGGACAAGAGAACCACCAGGCCATCATAGCCATGGCGACCACTGAATGATTTCAGCCCGTCCACATAACCATGCCAGTCCTGGAAGAGAGATTAAAAAAAGACAAATGGAAAAGAAAGAAATAAAAGAAGAAAAAGGGGGAAGGAATCAAGATCCCAAGTGTGTATGGCAAGCTGCTTGACAGATGCTCAAAGTTCTAACTTTTTAAAAATCATATTATTAATGAACTAATAATGAAAAAACAATTAATATATTTTGTTGTAATAGTCTTAAAATTATATCCTAACATTTTGTTAAGATCTGTATGGGAAACTTTGTTCGACCCCTGCCTTTTATTGTGCATGTGATTGAATTTTTTTGTAAAACTGAAGTGGTTTCAAGTAAGCCTTCATCTGTAGCAATGAGAGACGAAGCTGTCAAATCGCACAGAGGGGTAGAGAGACACTTTGTGATTTATTGTTTGGAAATTAACTGTTTGCTCTTAAAACAGCCACCATGCACAGATTATGGTAATTCAATGACAGGCACGATGATTGATGGATGGAAAGTTGCATTAATTAATTGTTTTGTTTGTCAAGGGAACTTGCTTTTTCTTTCTTTCTGAAATGATTAACAACAATGTTATGGAAACCATAATTTGCAACGCAGGGTTACACATAAAGTGTGTAAAGTGACACTTTTGAAAACATATTTGCTTGATTAATCTAGATTTGTTGTGTAACTGTTTGTTTTGTGAAGTTCTCAAAATTGTTGTTGTGCTTATTTAAGTAGAAACTTTAAACAAAAGAGATACTGTCGTTTTAGTAAAGCTAACAGAGGAAGTCAAAGTTTGACACTCATGTGTGTTTCTGGTATTCTTGAAAACATGACACAACATCATGTTGCCTGACTTCATGAGTGTGTTTGTATTTTTCTGTATGCTGTGTATTAAAGTGTGTGTGTGGTCCTTCTCTCTGCTTGAGCCTGTGTGTGTATTTGTATGGGTCCACTGAAAGTGATTGATGAGCGCTGCAGGCTCTGTATCTTCCCAGGCTGTGTCAATATTAACCTGTTAGGATGAGGGGGCTACAATACTCTTCCCCCTGATCCTAGCTCCATCCCATCTTTCTCTCTCTCCACAATATGGCTGCTGTCAGACTCAGGCACATCAATCCTCACACACACACACAACTGTCACTTCACTGACAACGCCATTTCTCAACACTGATATCCTGATGAGTGCAATGAAGCCTCCCAAGATTCGTTAAAACACACATATTCACTCACATAAGTACAAACACACAAGTAAAGGCACATGAAACAATAACACACGCAGATACACACATAAATTCGCCTGCAGTTGTCTACTGTAATCTCAGTGTATGAACAAACATGTACCAGTATGTACACATATGAGCTCTGGTAAAGCAATAAAGTCTTCATGATTTACAGTACAATATACAAAGAAATGCTCAAATGATGCTGATACTCTAAAGCTACTACCCAACTGCGTGCATATGCACACAAAACTGCACACACACACATACTCACACACACAGGCAGGGAAATATAGTCAGAAAACGAGCAGAGTGCAAATCTCCAAGATAACACGCAGGGCGACAGTCTGTCTGCCATTTGGCTCTTAACTGAGTAAATTACTACTCATATTGCCACCCCTCCTCTTCCTCCCTCTTTCTGCCACCCCCAGATACACAGATTGCCTTTTCTTATAAATTACCAACATATTAGCTATAAAAATCCACTTGCTAACTGTCTCCAAGAACCTTAGCATCCGGACACAGAAACCTGTTTCTAATTTGTTGAGCTTTTGGTAATCTGCTATATCACAAAGGGTTTCTCTTTGAACTTTTCAATGTACTTACTTTTTTATTAACTTTACTTTTAATTTAGGAACGGTCACTGGAAACAACATTCTGCTACTGCAGATATTTCAAATATCAACTCTTAAATTCTATAAACTCCCTCATAGAAAATCATGCTGTTAACATCATGGCAGTTTTACCATGAAAGTACAGAAAACTACAAGGAAATCAAAAAGTGACAACTATTATCACTCAGTATGGGTCAGTATACTTGTTTTCTCTTGTGAACTGACATTTCATTTAGAAATAATAAGTACGTAAAAATGTAAGTAGTCGTCCAAAACTTAGATGAACTGATATTTCTAGGTAGTCATGTTTCACTAATGCACAAGTTTGTTTTATCTGTAGTTCATTTAATCATCATTTATTCTCAAAAAGACAAAAAGAAAAAGAAGAGTTTTCAACATACATAACAGAAAAAAGAAAAAAGAAGCAAAAACAAAATGAATGGAGGAAATATCAAATAATAGGAAACAAAGAAAATGTGTCACACAACACAAACATACTAATGCAAGTATGGCATAACACTACACACTAAAAAACTTTTAGCAGTATATCAACATTTTAAAAACAACTTTTACACCCACGCTGAAGGAAAAATAATCTAGTCACTGCGTGTGATAGCGATAGTGGCAACATAAACTTGCCTGGCTTTGTTTTGGTAGGAAAGGGTTTTTTTTATTTAGTTGAGGGGTCTGATTAAGGAAACTTGTTGGTCCTGAGGTGTTGCAATATGATGACTATGTGTTTTCTTTTCCTCTCAGACATGATTTCTGATCCTCTTGATTGCCAAGCACAAGTTTGTGCATTACATTTAAAGTGATAAAAAAAAATATATAAGTAGTTGAAGAACACCATTTTTTGTGCAGAATATCTGTTTAGGAAAACTTTTTGACAGAGGACATGGTATGTGCCAGTGACTTAAAGGTGGTCACAGTTTATTCGGATAGTCTGCCTACATGTGACAGTTCATGATCATACCCTAACCAAGATATTTTTTGTGCCTAAACCTAACCAAAGCTTAACTACAGCAGTGTAATATCAGAAAACAGTTGTTGAATCTCAATAAATAAGCTGTTAGAATGCTACAAATAGGCCTACTTTGTTAACTATTTGTTGGCAGACTCTCTATATGAATGAATGGTCTAAAGCAGGTGGAGTTATGAAGAATTATTCTCCCTTTAATGCAACTTTGTGCATTACATCTCTAAATCTAATTTTTCCCTACCTCACCTGTCTCTCCTTCCTTGTCACACTTTGTCTCTTCATCTCTTGCTCGCACACACTTTGCAGCTTCATCTTTCTCCCACACTGGATCCAAATCTACACGCACACAAGCACACACACCCTCCCTCTCTCTTTGGTTGTCTTTGCTCCACAGGTAGCAAGTCTTTAGCGGCTGCTTGCAGTTCTCCCAACCTGCCATCATTATGCACAATAGCCTTAGGTACAAAACTCAGGCCTCATAACTCACGCCCCGCGCGCGTAAATTCCCGTGCAAACACAGTCAAAGCAAAAACACATTTCCTGCTGTCGCCAACATCTCCGGCAAAGAATTAATCAAGCGTTCATCCATTTAGGCTCTTTGCATACCCTTTCCTTCAGAACACAGAACGCTAAGAGAGTTGCGAGTTCTTCTCAGGCGATCGTTTCGCCACCCTGATGAATCCATCAAGCGAGGTTTGATTTATACATCTGTCTGTGATCACAGCGGTACAGCTACAGCAAATGGGGTGGCAAGGAGCGAGCTGACACCACCCTGCTCAAACACACACATGCAAATGCACACACGCATGTGCAACATATACCACTCACCACTCACCACACACACATCCACAGCCAAACCCACACATGCATGTGCTCACAAACCCAACAGTCATGCGCTCTCGTTCACGCTCATGCGCACACACGCGTACACAAGAATATTTCTGCTTAGGAAGTTTTTGGAGAGACAGAGGGGAAAAGGGAGGGGGGTAAAAGTTTGCTGAGAAGGAAGCCCAAATGTCTTTCTGTCTGTCTTTCTCATATGGGCCTTCTCCGCATGCTTCATTCACTCAGCTCTAAGTGCAGGGATTTGGGGGCCAAGATGCAAGCACTGAGTCTATAAATGTTTTGTTTTGTTTATTTGTTTGCCCTCAAAGCCCAAGGAAGCCACAGGGGGAGAATGAAAATGGGGGAAGAGTTTCAGAAGAGATGATGATGAGGAAGAAACATCAGTGTAAGTTACTTCAGATACAGTATGATGACTGTTTTGTGCAGCAGTTTTTCTAAACCCGTTTAAATAAACACCATATTTTTGTCTATGAAACAATTCATATAATGTGTGTTACAGCCTAACAAATTTCTAGCAAAATGTTTTCACAGAGCAGATAAAAGTGAGGTATCTTTGCATAATCCTTATGAGTGTCTGAATGCATTCCCAGAGCTACAACAAAAACAACACTACAGAACCAGGAAATGTGTATATGTGCTTTAGTGCCCCGATGGATCCAGAAAATCTCAGGCTAAGCAGGTTATGTTTATGCATGTAATCAGAAAATTTAAATCTTCCCAAAACTCAAGTGGTTACAGCAATGTGTACTTCATGAACACTCTCACAAAGAAAATCACAGAGGAGCAAGAATGAAAGAACCAGGAAGTCAGAGAGGAATAAAAAGATAGAGAGATGGAGGGGCAGGGCACTCTGACTTCCTGGTCTTCAATCTTAGTCCCTGGGAGGCCCACCCTGCACCTGCTGTCTCTTAGTGCTTCTCATCAGAAAGGCATTTACCGAGTGCCGTGGCTGCGGGCCCCTTCATTAGCGAACATAATTATTTGTGCAAGTGGCGTAGGGCAAAACTGGCCCCGCATAAACAAACAGAAGGGCCGGAGGACTGTGAACAAACAACACATTAGAGACAATCAACTTCGGCAAAATGAAACCTAAAGCGTACCTCAGATGGCGAGATGGACACATACACACATGCACAAAAAGAACAGAACAAACAAATCGACAACATAAAGCATTATAGCGACAGAAAAATAGTAATCAACGTCCAAAACAATGTGAAGTCGTATGCAGATGCCTTATCCTATAAGCAGATACTCAGAATTACACATCCACAAACACACACTCAGTTACAATAGCCACGTTCACACAGAAGATGATTGATTTTGTTTACCACACAGAGAAAACAAACAACATTACAATTATTCAGGTATCTTGGTGGAACACTCAATTCTTGTGGATCATATGAGACAAACTTTTATTACTTTCCCACCTTTCCCCTCTCTACAGTCTGTGCAGTCTGTGCAGAGTGGAAATAGCTTGGAAAAGAGAGAAAACAAAGAACTCTAAAAAATATGAAGTCCATATTATACACGCACAAAACACATTATTCACATATTCATGACACTGTGTGTTTGTTTGCGTATGTGTGTGTGTGTGTGTGTGTGACTGTGGGCTCCTGTCCTTCCCACAGTTCATCAACTCCACAGCATGACAACTCTTTATCCGACCAATGCTTCATCTGCCAGCGCTAATTATTGAGCCATGAAAACCTCTGATACACAAACACACACTCACTGGCATGAATATGTGAATAATGTGTTTTCCGTGTGTTTGTGTGTATGTTAATGTGGATGTGTGACACAAGATTTTGCACAATCAAGAAAAGGCTTCCAAATTCTTGTACCAACTCAGCTATGATAGCTGTCATGCCTTTTACATCCACAGGTGATGCTGCACAACGACTGTGTGCCCTTGAGCAAGGCGCTTGACCCCTACTGGCTCCTGTGGTGACTCTTCTGTTAGCGGACACAGTGTTGCTACCTGTCCATTAGTCTTGAGTGTTCCTGCGTGCTGGTGACTTAAAAAAAAAAAAGTCCCAGTTGGCCTGACCACATAAAAGTAAATAACACCGTGTGGGCTGAGAGACAAAAATCCAGAGTAAATCTGCCAGGTGTAAACAATACATCATAACTAGAAATCAATTATAAAGGCCACTGATCTTTTCTAAAACAGAATTTTACCAATTACTCTTATTTCTTGTATTTAAGTTTCCTAAGAATACTAAAAATGCCTTGCCCAAAAAAATCTAAGCAAGTGTCTAACCAAACAGGGATTTTGTACAATACACTATTAAATATTATAAGAATAATAATTATTCTTCCCAAAAGACTGTGAGCTCTTTACTTTATTGCACTGACTAAGACTCAGTAACTTTAGCTGGTAACTACATATTCTGCTTCTGGAAAGCAGAAATACTGCACACAGAACCTTCAGAAGCACTCAGTACAACGCAGTACAGTTGTGGTAGGGGCAGATTGACTACTACAGAAAAATACCAAGTATTTGCAGTAAAAAACAAACAATTTCTATACCTGACAAAAAGAAAAGTCTTATACTGGTGGTATACGCATTAGAAAACAAAAAAAGCCTCACAAAGTCTCACAGACAAATTCATATAATTGTTCCTAATGTGCAGTATTATGGGAAACATTTTCATGATAGTTCTTGGGCAGTATTTTGTGCCGTTGTAGCCAAAAATTGTTGAAATATTGTTTTAGGAACTGACAGAGGTATTTGCCTTTACATTTTCAACAATGATGAGCAGATACAAATAACACAGAGAAACATCCAGACCGGCGCTGTGCTTTTTAAAGAGTGAAACCCCATTCATTTTCATGTTTCTCTTCCATAATAGAGGAGCACACAGACTGACTAATGTATGTTTGTACAGTATACAAAATACATTAGTCAGTCTATACGATGTGTCCATATCGTTACACCAAACACACTAAAGCTTTTTCTTCTGCTAACTAGGCAATCACAGCCAGATTTCTTTTACCCCAAAATCTAACTCTGTCCTCTTTAACTGCAATCACACACACACACACACACACACACACACACACACACACACACACACACCCAAAAAACACACTTTGACAAACACATAACACATAAACCATTAAAGACTAATTGAATCTAATTTATTTAGTTTTCTGGAAAGAATCATTTAAGGCAGAACTTCCCTAAGCCCCCCTCAATAAATGACACTCTCATACCGTTTTACTCTCTTTTCAAACACAATTAAAAAATAATATATAAATATATACACACTGCAAATGACATGCATATAAGGAGTTCATTTTGGAGCCCGATCTCAGGTCATTAGTAACCCACCATGACGCTGTGGAGTTGGAGGGTCCGCTGGCGACACAGAGGCCCCTGGCCATTTATTCTATATTAAGTCTCTAATGGGCCCTCTTTCTCTCACTCTCTCTCTCTCTCTCTCTCTCACTCTCTCGCTCCTGACACACAGCATGTAGGCACAGCGCTGGTAAAATATGCACAGAAAGTCCGGTGCGCACACACACAGACAAAGCCATTCAAATGAATGGTTATTTATTCGCTAAACGAGGATCTGGGTGTTTAATGTTCCTTGGACGTTAGGTAGTTTTCTGGGGGAGGCAGAGCCATACCCCTACGGCTACAGACATCATTTATTTTACACATAGCCTAATACTGCACGCTAGGCAGCCGCTGAGAAAAATGGGCTTTGGAAGTGAGAAGGAGATATAAAAGAAATAATGAATGATTTTTTTTTTTTTTTTGGGGGGGGTGATGGGAGGGGGGTGAACACATTAGAAGTTGCAGCAGGGAGAAAAGCAAGGGGTAGGCTTAAAGGCTTAAAGCACCCTTGTGTGTGTGTGTGTGTGTGTGTGTGTGTGTGTGTGTGTGTGTGTGTGTGTGTGTGTGTTAAGAGGAAAAAGAAGAGAGTGACAGAGATGGAAAGACAGAAAAGTCAACACAAACCTTTCACAAATGTATGTGAAAGTATATGTATGTTATAGTGTGTGTGCATGTGTGTGTGTGTGTGTTGGATTTTAGGATATCAGTGGGGAGGGAGGTGATACCTGGTTGTGTGTGAGGCTCTCAGGCCTCCATCTGCATCTCATCCAAATTCAGTACATCACAACATCGGAGGGGCTCCTCTACTTGCATAACAACACCTCCCCAAAATCACACAGTGCAGGTGCAATGTATCAGAAAAACATCAAAGCCATCAAAAGTAACTTTAAAAAAAAAGAAACATTGTTTTTATTCAGTTTTGTTAGTTTTTTTTCTTTTCCATCTTTCTGTTAAAAGACTCAAGTTACCATGATTCTTTGAAAAAAGGAAAGAAGACTCCATTATATCCCAATATAATCACCATGATATATTAAAAAAACACGTCAGGCTAATGAGGCCATTAATTGAAGTAATAATGGTATTAATTAGCCAATATTTCTATGTCAGAACATTCATCTTTTCATATCACATGTGTAAAAATTAATATGAACTGTGGAGTCATAAGCTTTAAGAATCAACCTAGTTTTAATTGTTGGTATCTAGTATAATATATCATATGAAATATCATAAAATACACAACTAGTTTCCATTAAATCGTGACGTAAAATGTTTTTATTGAAGTTGTAAATTGTCTTTGAATGATATGGATATGAAATAGGTCTTTAAACTCAGTTAACATGACTCATCAACTGAGCTTTAAATAAATTAACTTAATCTTTATTGTGGTTTCTGCCTTGCACAGCTGTGTTCAATTTACCCTAAATTAAACAAGGTAATTATTGAACTTTTTCAGCATTCAGAAAGGGTTAGATTTTAAAAAAGTCCCTAAAATTCAGTGGTAAATTGCTTTCTATCTACGTTTTAATTGACTGAACAGAAACTAAATTGAATCAGGCATTTTAAGTTATCTTTATGATAAAAACTTACCGCCTTATCTGTGGTCACTACAGTGAGTGCTATGGTCATCTCTCCATCAGAAAACTCTTTCAACTCCATAGTCAGCAGCTGCTCCAAGTCTACATCCAGTCAGCACACACAAACAGACTGACAGTTATATAATAACACACAAAAATAATACAAAACAGTTTCACGACAGACAGAAAAAAAAACAAGCATGAGTGGCCTCTCTAGAAGTGAGAGGTGATTGAAAGGATGATGCAATACTTGGAAAATGTGCTAGCTAGCAAAATGTGACACTTCAGGGATTACATTTTAGCAATCAGGTGACCTGGAAATGATTTCAGCTGCAGAACACAGAGAGAGACCCTCCAACTAAATATATCTGCTTTTTGTTTAAAGCCCCTGTAGCTTATATGTACTGACATATCTGACCTGAACTGATCAAAATACTTTTAATAATGATGTAAACTGGGAAAATGTTATAATGCCTTTCACAACATAACACAATACACACCATATTACAAAAGGTCATTCTAATATTGGACTTATTGACCAAATAACATTGATCAGGTAAGTTTAATCAAATATTTCCAACTAATTCATACTATGCATACTACTAACTGAGGCAAAGTCCTATCTTCATTTACAAAGGATTGGCAGTCAAGTTTAAATAAACAGTTTGGTCTACTAAAACGGTTATGACGGTTATGTTATAGCTGGTGATGCTCATAGATTATTTATACTAAGGAGCTGGATACATCACAGCTTTAGCCTTGATGCCAATTTGTTCTAGTGGCCACTTGTGGTTCTGCAACAAAAAAAAATCCCCTCTGGCCAAAAAAGCATTTTCCCCACATAGACCACCATTAGAGACATCTGTTGAACTTGTGATAGGACACTTTCATAATACTTGTTGTATTAAGAATGTTTATCCATTAAGGTGTCATATTTATGAAACTTTCCTAGAAAACCTATTTTCTTTTTGTGTCTATGGGCTGAGCACAATGCAGAAGCAAACCTAGAAGCTAGAAAAATATTTTGGCTGATGTGCTTGACGAGCAATTTTCATTCCAATGAGTCAAGTGTTCTTGGTTTAGACAAAGTGATCGACTTATGATCAATGAAAAAAGATATGTATTTGGAAAAATGTAATGTTCAAAAGAGTCAAAATATCTTAATTTGGGGGCTTTTCCAAGCAAACATTGATACATGTGATTGTTAAAATTAAATCAGCATATTTTCTTCCCCTGCTTAAAGTCTCCATGACACCCTGTTGCCATCTAGATGACTTGCCTCTGCTGGCAACAAACAATTTTTATATTAACAAAGAATTTAGACATTTTTAAATTTGAATGGTGCAACCCAGTTTAGTAACTAACCAGTGAGAAACTGGGTAGTAGTAGTTGGGAAGAACTTACAAATGCAACCCAGCTCAGGGCTGTTAAACATGCTGGATTACTGGCATTGCTCACTGGGACACTTAAAGTGGAATGGAGCCATCTTTAATTTTAATAGCTACACCATAACTAAATAAAAAAACAAGTGTCAACATGTCTTTTGTAGTTTATGCTTTGCCTATTGCTGTATGTTGTTTGTTTTATACCATAATTTTGTGCTTCCTGTATGAGATGACAATATCATTAGGATGAGCGAGAACAATACTATTATTATCTTCATTATTCTCAAACTCACAAGTTACATAACATCGTCAAGACACAATTCATATAATCACCACATGTCTTGTCTCTCCTACTGCACGTATAAACTGTACTGCGTTCAATCAAAGCCCAAACGCTCTGCCCGTTTAAATATGCACCTTGTAACTTTGCCTCATCATGTTGACCCGTGGTCACATCACTCCATGGCTCCAAGGATCTTATGAGCTCCTCCAGCTGTGCTGACCTATGGCCATGTTTGCTCCACAAAGCTTCACTCTGCAGCTGCAAAGCCTCTGTAGATACATAAAAACACAAACACATATGGGTGCATTGAGCATGCACAAAGTTCATATAAATTCAACTGAGGTTCAATAATTAAGCACAACATGACGTTATATTTGATCGGATCATTGATGAATTTCTGCCTTCAAATCAACAAGCCTCTCATTAGAAGTCAAGTTTTTTCATTAGATAGATTTGGTTTTATTGTAAAATATGACCTTTATATTGATATACATTTCAGGCCACTGTAAGCTATTTCAGTGACCAATCAATGCAGATCCTTAATTGCCAATACTGTTCAATAAAAGCCATTAATTACTGAATGCCCTTTTAACCTTTGTGTTGAGCTGCACTCAATAAATAATGATATAGATTGACACTTTTAATTACGTTATTGAACACAAAGTTGCCATCGGGGACGAGGGAAGGACATGGAAAATTGTGTCATTTAGGTGAAACTGTGTAGAGTTAGACTTTATACTGTTTGTACACAGTGCCATCACAGTGTCATCACAGTGTACCACAGTAGTCAGTAAATCATTCACATTTAATGAAAGACAACAGCAACATCTGGAACTATAATCATGTGAGCTACTTCTGGTTCAACTATTTAACATTCTTTGCTATCCAACAAATATTTCCCATTGGTCTCATTTTAATCAGGACAACACAAAAATATGCAGTTGTAGTGCAGTGTAAAAAAAAGTACAGTATAACTTTACCTAGGTCATACACTGTAAATATAAAAGACAGAGCTCATGAGGATCACGAATTGAGTTGAGCTACTGGCCTTGAAAATGCTCTACTCTCAGAAAAAAATAGAAGAACTGGACTACACATAGTAGATCACTCTCCTGTTCCAATAATTTCTCTGTTTCTGTTCATGACTCTGGACTTTTCCTCACTTCATCCACTTTAATTCACTTTTTCTCTACCATTCTCTGTCTGTCGTTCTGTAAACACAGTGGGACAGCAGAGAGGAAAAGCAGCAGAGCGGTATTGAACAGAGATCAGTCGTGTCTCCTGCTCAAGTTTTACACAGCTGCTTAACGTTGACAACTGGAGTACCTGTTTGGCAGGCAGTTTAACTGGCTTAACAACACACACACACACACGCACACACACACACACACACACACACACACACACACACACACACACACACACACACACACACCGCAAATGTACTCCTTCATCTCTTTTATCACTTAAGTGCCCTGTTAAGTACTAAGTATTTGAAAAGCCATCCTAAGTAGAGTTTAACTGATGTAATTTGAATTATTACAATACAGTAATCCATTTAATGTATGTAAAATGTATGTTTCTCATTAATATTATTTTAACCAAGCAAACACAGATAAACACATTCTGTTATGAGAATAGGGAGTTTTTTTACTCTCATACATACAGTACACACATAGATGCACAGTTTTGTTCTCCGCCCCTTTATTATGTTTTCTGTTTTCTCCATTATTGGCTTTTCAACATTTACTGATTCACTTTTCTTTGATTTCTTGTGACAACTTTTCTTAATTTAGTGGGAAAAAATTACTACCTGACAAAAAAGAAACAACTTACAAGACAAAACTAACTTAAATAAAAAAAAGTCTCACACATTATGGGACTCTGTGTGTCTTTCTGCACTCTTCCTTACTCACACTCACCACCCCTCATCTCTCTCTTTCTCCATCTCTCCTGGTGGGTGTTAAGCGAGTCATGTCAGGGGATTTGTGTGTGTCCTCCTTCATCGCCCCATTACTCCCCCTGGGGGGTTCCTGCGCCTCCCTCACCTCCGAGAGTCTCCCCCAGCGCTGCTCTGATGTGCTCTGCTGCCTCTTGAAGAATCTCCCTGGCGACTGTTGTCACCACGGACGATGCCCCATCATCCCCTGCGTCCTGCTGCCCGTCGTGATGGACCACTCGCAGGATGCTGGACTCCAAAGCGTGGTACTCAGAGCTAGGAGAGTGAGAAGAAGGGGGTGAAGGAGATATGGATGGCTGCAGGGGAAGAAGCGATGATTGTGAGGCATTTGCATAAATACAACTCCCCTTTGGGTCATGAGTGATGAACACACACAGGCCTGAAATACACATCCAAACACACTCAATCTCATTTTTGCATCAACAAATACAGTCTTCTCAGCCAGAACCCACTGTGTGCGTATATGTTTTTGTCCTGCATGCGTGTGTGTGTGTGTGTGTGTGCTTCAGTATCACCTGTAAACACATTAATCAGTGTTGGTCCAGTGAAACATGTCCTAAATTCACAGAACCTGCTTTCAGGTAAGATTTTAATAACTTCCCTGGAGTCTCAGCTATAAAGCAGTCAAGGATTAGCGGAAGTTATCTACAAACTGACCTGGTGTGTGTGCTTTGACATGATTTGCATATGTGAGTGTGTTTACCTATCTAGCAGTCCATCTCTCAGCAGTGTGAGTGAGAGTTTTCCGGTGTGATGAAGCTTCGTGAGGTCTACATCCTCCCTCCACAGCAGCGAGCTCTCACAGATTTTCACCCTACGCAGATACCTCACCGTCTCCCCAGGCAACCCAGCTTCACATCGCCGGCCGCAGAGCACCGGCACACACACTCCACCTGATGGTTCCTTCTGCAGCACATAGACACACAGTACATAACCAAACACATTTTAAAATGAAATGAACAGACTTGGAATCAGATATTCCCACAAAGCAATTAGCACGTTTTATTTGATCAGATTAAAATGTAAAATATAATTGCAGTGTTTTATGAGATTGTTGCATATAAAAGTCCACCAAATTTACTGTCATTATTTTATCACATTAGTTAAATAATGTTCTGATGATCATATCTTCGATATATACCGAGGCTGCCTGAGAATACTTTAACTAGGTTTTACCATTAGGGAAATTATCTTTATGTATACAGTGGAACAAAGAGGGAAGGCTTCAAAATGAAGAGCAACTGACTGGAACAGGTGAATCTCTACAGTAAACTCAAAGGCAAATTCATAGTGGATCATGTTTACCATTCTTTGGTGCATTTTGTGTCATACAAGAGTGATGCATGAAAAATATTCCGCCCTACTGCTACTCCACCATTTAGCATATGATATATTGGTCGAGGTATCACTTTAGCTTGTACAGAATGCTGCTTTTTATTTTTGTGTATTTCCATAAAAATAGTGGCTCACTGGGCAAACGGACTTACTAGGATTCAAATGATTGGTATAGGAATTTTTGGAAAATAGTGCAGTACTCTGAAACAAGAAAAGGAGATTGGTGCAGTGGCTACCAGTGTGCCTGAAGCATTAACACAAATCAAACAACAATGTGTGAGTACAGATTTGTTTGCCAACTTCACAGCCATAAATAAATAGAAATATATCATATAGTTTATTTGATCTGAATCTGGTTTTCATATGCTTTTAGGTATACAGTAAAACATATTGAAAACACATGCACACAAACAGAGAGAATTCACGTTACGTGGCTGAGGTGTAGTGCTAAACACAATGTTGCGGCCACGGTGTCAACATCTGGCTCTGGTCCCCCTAAAACAGCATGGATGGGATCCTCTGATGCCTCTGCCTGGAAACACACACACACAAACATACATAAATGTTATTGTGCCTGTGGCTATGTGGCTTTTTCTTTTATTACAGACATCTTTCAGTGATAATTAATATTTTTGTTTTCCAACATCCAACAAAGGAAGCAGGTAGCAGTACTGTACATTACTGTCATCATCATTGTTATTATTGTTCTTATTGATTTGATAGCTGATATAACTGTATCACTTGAAACTCCCTGAGGCAGCATGACTGTTTGATGACTGCAGCATTTTGTAACCAACCGCATGCATTAATAATGAAATCATGGTAGTGCAAGATTTAGCCCATGCTTGAAAGAGAATACTATTCAATATGCACAACACTAGAGGCAAAGTCAGTTGTAACAGTGAAGCAATGGTCTAAATTAGCAAGAGAAACTTATTTCACTGCTAACTAAGAGTAACATGCTTTATCAGAGAAGTTGATGAGTTCCATTAATTTCACTAAACAATGCAGACAAACACTCCTCATTTAGGTTAAGTGGACATTAATGACAGCTCCATTACTGAGATTAAACATTCATCTCTGGGTGAAAAAGGCAGAAAATTAAATATCTCCCTTTTTCATTTGGCAGAAATCATTTTTGACTTTCATAGCCTGATTCCAACATTGGTAAAAAAAAAAATTACATGACATTTGCATTAAACAGTTACATGGGAACACACATCCTAAGGTCAGGTCTCTGGACATTCAACATTTCACACTCTTTGTGGAAATCTGAAAAAAAAAAATTCAAAACATCATAATAGAAAATAGCAAAGGCTTATTCTTTAATGACATGCATCCTCATTAGTTACACCCACTGACAGTAAAAAGAAATAGTACAATATTTTTGGGTAATTGGGAACAGAATCAGCCTCAACCATGCACTGGGTGTTCTGTGTCAATCAGTAATGTTTTATCTAAAACAGATAAGCTGACTGCCCTGCAGCCTGCATCATTAATCAAGAAGCAAAATGTGGATACAATGAATATCCCGCCTATCTGTAGCGCATCTTAATGGGCTTGTAGGATGCTCTGATGGGAGAGGATTGAGCAGTGGAGGGGAAGAAGCAAGTTTATGGAGACAAAGACCAGTAGGAAGACTATTCCTGTTGCAGGTAGCTTAGACTGGCAACAATATGGTCACAAGATCATTTGTGTGTAGCTTTGTTGCCTTGACAAAATAACTTTGATAGAAATCCATCACGACTGTCTGAGTGGGTATTTGAAGCAGTATAATCTTGACATCTCTATATGCTTTTTGTTATACCCTCTTAAAATTAATCAGCAATTATTAGGAAGTCGGACACTGGTGGCTTGTTTTGCTACCAGAAATATATAACAAATATGTTCAAATGGTTTGTATGTTTAAGCCCATGTACTACACACTTTGTGCTGTACTTTACAGCACTCTGTCACTTTTTCAAAGAAGCTATGTTTAAAGATTGAGCTCCTCTCATCAAAGTGAACTAATCACTTTTTTTTTTCTTTTCTTTTGAGCCCAACAGACTGCAATGACTTTTAAAGTTTTATTTAATTGGGCAACCTTGCTTGCTTAAATATCACCCTGGAAGCTTAGCACTTATCACATTTGTTGACATGTCAAATATATAATGGGGTCTGGTGATTTAATGGAGCTTTATACCGGAGATAGATGAATTAGTACCGGTAATAATGCATATGGAATGATGTTAGTGTCTTGTTTCTGTTCATAGGGCCTCACCACTGAGGCCAAATGGATAAATGAAATGAGGGGAGAAGAAATGAGAGGCCAAAGCACAGGGGGGGGGAGTTAGAGGCTGTTGATTAGACTGAGAATGAGAAAGGAAGGAGTGTAGTGAGATTGGAGGAAGGAGGGCAATGAGTTCAAAGAGGCTTATGAAAGGTGGTCTGAAATATAGGGAGTATGGGCAGCAGATTGTGAAGTCAGACGTGGAAGAGGTGGAGGAAAGGAACAGGAAAAAAACAGGTGAAAAAACGTGATAGGGAGAAGGGAGAAAAAGGAGGTGGAAGAAATTAGATAAGGGAGTGAAAATGTGAGGCAAAGAAGTGGAAAGGGAAGGAGAGAACACTAAGGAGAGAGAATTGAACGGAGGAACAGAAAGAGGAGAAGGTGTGTGAGAGAGAGAGAGAAGAAGGGGGGGAGGTCTGCAGCCAGCTCCTTCATAGGAGGGAGAGAAAAATAAATCAATACTAGATAGAAAGGAAGCGATGCATTAGCAGGAGAAAAGGCCACTCAGTGTCTGTTATACTGCAGCGGGAGAACATCGGTGTGTGTTTGTGCGTGTGTGCACGAGCATGCATTGGCCATCTGATATCCTTCAATCTGAGTGCTCTCCCTCTGAGCTCTATCTCCCTGTCTCACCACATTCAACCCCTCTCCTCTCCTCTCCTCTCCTCTCCTCTCCTCTGCTCTCCTATGAATCTGCTTTTGATGTCCGTCTTTCTCAATGTGTATTTTCAGCCAAACATCGCTCTGAAATGAGGAGATTTACTCGCTTACAGTAATCACTCCTCGTATAAAAGCTGTGGGGCAGGTAAATACAACCTTTAAATGTATATAACAGTTAATGTTTGCATTTGTGGTGTTTAAAACAACTGGAGCCACTGCAGTCTGCTGATGCACATTACACTGAAGTCAAGGAAACACTTGGAACAAGTAACCAGTCCATTGCACACAGACATCTCTACTAATTTCTATCTATGGGAGTCTCAGTTTTAGCTGAACTGCATGTCTATGGACTGTGAGACAAAAGTGAAGCACCCAGAAGAAACCCTCTTAACACAAGCAGAATACAAAAACTCCACACAGGAAGGACCTATGCTGAGAATGAAAGGCAAGTTCTTCTTGCTGAGTGCCACTGAGCCACAGTACCGTCATTTACATCCATGCGTTTTTTCATTTTGATTAGATCTTATCCATATCTTTTAGTATAATATACACCATTTGTACAAGAAAAAAGAATCAGACACTTATTGATCTGTGTGAAATATGTAAGTGAACCATGAATATTTGGATAAAGATAATAGTAAATACTTTAAGAAACTTTAAAAGGGTACTCCATTAACTTATGAAAGATGGTAACAATATTTCTTTTATTTTTTACTTTTCCTTCCGTTCAGTCATGCTAATAAATGCTTTTAAAATGATTGCACTTTCCATAGCCAACCTTCCTTTTTACAGCAGGAGTGCCTAGAAAAGGCAGTGTTGGCAATTTGGACCTCTTTTATCTAGCAATTACTTTTACGTCTCAACAATTATGTACTGTAGTAAACATTAATTGGGACGAATAGTAGCAAATGTTCTGAGACAGACATAGCGTTAGAAAATGACCCATTCTTTTTAAGTATTAATATTTTTTAATAATATTGGAATTATCAAATTTTGGGACTAAATGCAAAGCCATAACCAGACACAAAGTGGTCCAAAAAACCTTTTCTGGTGTGTGTCTGTGTGTATGTTTGTATATATGTGTGTGTGTTTGTGTGTGTGTATGTTTGTATATATGTGTGTGTTTGTGTGTGTGTGTGTGTGTGTGTGTGTGTGTGTGTGTGTGTGTGTGTGTGTGTGTGAAGGACAGATGCTGGAAGTCCACTCAGCACATTGCTTCATTTCTATGCCAAATGATGGGAGAGTGAAGGAGGTATAGCCATACAGAGAAAAACTGAGCGAGAAATCAGTAGGCACTAAGAGCCAGGCCAATTAGAGGTATGGATGTTCTGGACGGTAGCCATCCAGAGTCGAGAGAGAGAGGGGGGAGGGATGACACAGAGAGAGTAGTCAGCAAAAGAGCAAACCGTCAAAGTTTATATTGGAGAGCTAGGAGAGATAAAGTGCGTCTGTGTGCACGGGGGTGGTGTGCGCAAGAGAGAAATGGTTGATAATCATGACATGTGTTACACTTTATCTGCAACCTCCATGACACTCATCAGTTGGCCTCCTTATCACTCAATTACCCTGCTGTGCTCTGATCTGCGGATATGCTTCTTTGATCTTTTCTTCTCCTCAGCTTTCCCTACGTTTATGTGGAGTACATCCCAGATAAAAGCTCTTATCCTCTTTAAATTTCATTCCAGACAGGCTGTTCATATGCATGTTTGTATTGTGCTGACAGACACCTGTTTACATGAATAAACTGAATATTCTGAATACTGTAGCATGGCTGAAAAATATTAATTAAGACAATAAAGCAAATACAAGCATGTACCCTGGATAATATCAACAACGTATGACATGTAGTAACAGCATATTGGTGTACATATGAACACAAGCACGCTCCCTTTAACTAAAAATCCTTTTGTTTGTGTTTATGTTCATGTACATTATGTTCTACTTGAGAATTTCACAGCTTGGAAAGTGTATTTTACTACCGGCTTTTGTACATGAACACTAATTTACAGCATATGTTATCACCTAAATTGCCAAGAAGTGTACAGTTTGTACTTTCTATGAAATATTCATCTGAGCTTTGACATGCTCTGACAGTACTAAATGGACTTTTGTCAGAGTCAGGGTGCTGCTATTGGCTCTGCCACACTAAATGGAACAGAACCTTAAATAATATCATTGGTAACACCTGTGATTACCCTACTACCTCCCAATATGGCTGTTGTGAGAAAGGTCTATTTTATGACAACTGGGCAAACTCCACCTGCTGATGAAAATCATGTGATATTATCAAAAGCTCCAGAACAGCTACAGCATGGACTACATGGATTGCGGAAAGTGGGAATTGCTAGATGGCGTAAACTGAATGTGACTGTTGATTGCATTCTAAGAAATTGATATCCAGTTGTAGAAAAACATCAATAAATCACATGTGAAAGTACAAACACATATGAATACATATTTTCAGTATCTGATGATCTTTTGTTATGCATGAAAAACAGGACCAAGATGACTCAATAACCAAAACAGACAAATCATTACCACTGTGTGTGTGTGTGTGTGTGTGTGTGTGTGTGTGTGTGTGCTCTTCAGTGGCCAACAGAAGGAGATATGATAAATTCCTGACTGCCTGGGCATGTTCTCATCAGAGAAATTAAATGAAACACAAGGTGTTAAACTCAGCCAACACATAAATGCCAAGATGCTTAAAGTGCAGCAGTGCCAATACCAACTGGGCACTGAGTCATCACAAATACTCTGGAGGTGAGAATATAAGTGCTCACTGCTCAGAACCTCTGAAAGAGGCTATGTCATGGCCATGCACTGCAACTGATAATATGGTTATGCCATTTAAACAAGCACATGTAGAAAGAGCAGTTTTAGGGGCTCTATAGCCCATAGCCTCAAGGCATGTGCACCATCCATGAAAGGCTCCCTGATGTGACCGTCTGTGCAAGTGTTGCAGGGCACTCCTGGCACACTAAATGTGCAGAGGCCAAGACTGTATACAGAAATGTTAGAAGAATAGAACCACATATCCATGATCTACAACAACACACAGTGTATGTGCGCCTCCAAAAGCTCCACAGTCATTTAGTCTATATAAATTAGGTTGGTTAGTATTTACATGAGGCTTTTTTTTAATGTGTGAACAGACATTCAGTCCTGGATCAAATGCAAATTATGAGTCAGTATCTGCAGAGCAACCAGATAGCAGGCAAGGACAGCCTCTGGCTAAACTTGTTGATGTCACGCCTCCCCCTCATTAGAAATCAGCTCCTCATTCAAATTCACACACTGATGCTCCTGTAAACACAACGAGCTTATTGTACGGGGCCAAACACCCCCCCCCCTCCTCTACTGGCATACTGTCGATCTACAGGTGCTTGGGGGACCGAAAGGGACGTGAGAGGCTTTGCCGTGAGCTTGTTTCAGCAACAGGAACGCAGCCTGTAGCACAGCGGTATCAGCCTTCCCGACATGGTTTCATTCATTACACCCACAACCTGGTTTTAACGCCGCTGAAAGGCTCTCAACTCACCCCGAGTCTGCTCTGGACCCTCCGCAAATACTCTTCCATGTCGGCCTGCGTCGCTACGGTGTCGCTGCAGATCTCTCCATAGACCAAGTTTCGACAATAAGGCTGCTGATATGTGTGTGTTTTTTTTTGTTTTTTTTTTCCTCCTATGCGCTTCCGAGTCCCCCGCTGCGCTCGCACTGCAGCACTCTCTGCTGCTGTGTGTGCCGACGGTCCTCCCCTTCTCTACGGGGTGAACCCACAACACCGAGCAGTGGGTGTGACGGCAGGAAGAGGAGATCCGACGGAGGCGCGCTCGGTGATTCAACCGCGCTCCCTGCGGGCAGGGAGCACCCCTCCACCCCCACCCACCTCCATCGCTGCCCCCACCCTCCCGCATATACACACACACACATACACACCTATCCTATCCCGTAGCTACATAGCCTCAGCGTCCACCAATGAAAACAAAAAGTGGCGGATGATAAATAGCAGAGCTCCAGCACCACGGACAGCTGCCGCAATTGGCAGTGACTCTGGTGTTGGTATCAGCGCCTTCTGGTGCACAGGAAACATTTTGGTGCAAACGTTTTTTGTGTTTTGCCGCAATATGATACAAAACCACAGCCAGAATCAAAATGCACTGCGGTGCTTTTATGGTGTGTGACAGGGAGCACTTTCATTAATCTGAAAGATGACCATAGTTCTATGTGAAAACAGAGAATACCCGAAGAAGAAACTCTCTCTGTCTCAACACACACACACACACACACACACACACACACACACACACACACACACACACACACACACACACACACACACACACACACACACACACACACACACACACAATGGAAAGGCGGCCAGCCCTGAAACTTTAATATTCAAAATGGACAAGTCATTTATCATCGGGTCAGGGTGCCACTGGATTTATGTTTAGTCTCTCTCTCTCTCTCTCTCTCTCTCTCTCTCTCTCTCTCTCTCTCTCTCTATCTATCTATCTATTCATGTGCGTTGCTGAAATTAACCTACAAACATTTGTTGGGCCCCTGTTGACCACCCTTTATATGCATTATGTAGTATAGGCTACCAAGTACTCATATCCTGGAGTAATACTACCTGCTGCCAAGGTTTCAATGAGTCATTGAGATAAAGCATGACATAAACTAAAAACAATAAAAGTCTTTAATTTAGATTATAACACAGGTCTGCTGCTGTTAACCAAATAACCAAAACCAATGTGGTGAACCTGGAACTTCTTCGGCACCTGGGGATGTGGGCTTGAAATGAAATTACACAAGTGAAGTACATGGTGGCCCTGAAAGGAGTAACAGAAATTGGATGATACAGTTTTTTTCCAATCAGTAACACATTAATACACTTCTCTATAGTTCACTAATTCAAAACTCTTATCACAGTCCTGTTTACCAGCTCGACACAGTTGCACTAATGTAACCAAAACAAATCAACTCTTGTACCAAAATAGGGACATTTGCTACCTTATGTCACAGACATTAATCAGAAATGCAGCCGTATGGAGAGCCTTGATAGATCATCTGGTAGAGCTGGTGCCCCATGTACCAAGGCTGGGTCCCCGCTGCAGCAGCCCAGGATTCGAATCCAACCTGAGGCCCTTTGTTCCATGTCATACCCTCCCTCTTTCCCCTTTCCTGTTGCTATCGATTAAAGGCAATAAAACAAATATTAAAATAGTTTAAAAAAAGAAATGCAGCGATATGCTTCAGTAGCCCTTCATTATTTGCCACAGAGCAATTAATTAAGTAATTCTGTAAAAAAAAAAAATATATTCACTCTAAACACAAGGATAGCTACAGAAAGACGGCAGTGCTAGTCACCCTGTCATCTGCATTTGACCACAAGTTCTCATCCACTGGGAAATACACCTGGGAAAGAATCCCTGACAGTATTCTGCAGATACGTCCAGACACCCAGCATTGATTGTGTCTCAGGGGTGACATCTGATCATGTGGCTGGTCGTCGTACACTTTCCACCTCCAAGCATGAGGAAAATAATTCCTCTCTGGGGTTGAAGATTGGGGAATACTGTGTAAGGAAGTGGCACCCTCCTGGGATGGTGGTTTAAACCACTTTGTGACTGGAAGAGAACGGTAAAACGCCACATCATCCCATACAATTACAAAACATTCTGGATTCTGCATCACTTTTACTCATCTTGCACAAGGTGTTTGTGAGGTCAAAACTAGTGCTCAGTATTTTATGTCCAATTAGGATTTTAAACATTTCATTCTTTTTAGATGTGGATGTAGCAGAATGTAGCAAATTGCAGTAACTTTGTGTTATACTGAATTTAATTGTTTTGACAATAGTATGTAATCATGGGCACAATACACAGTAGAGATTGGGTGAGAAAACAGTTAATGAAATTTGAAAAATGTGGTCATTGAATGCATTTTGTGTAAACCTAAACCTAACCAGCCAAACCAACAAAGGCAACCAATCAGGGCACGGTGGGTCTTCACAGAATGCTGGTGGGGAAAAAATGGTCCTTGTAGGGTTTTTAGGGACGCATACCTAGACTCATCAGGAGGTGGTGGTACGCAGTAAGAAGTAAGGGTACTCATATGGACAAAAATCAGAAGTGGCGGTACTCCTCCTGTAAGTACTGGCAAGTACAAGTACAAGTTTAGAAAAAAAAAATCCTATAGAGAAATGCAAGTTAGTGATCATAAAAAAAAACAACCTGTCAGATGTAGATTTATCAGAATGTACCAAATTGCTGTCTAATTTAAAGTTATGTGTTATGTTTGGTCTTTAATGTAAATGTAACCATTATACAGTACTTTGTGAGTTGTTGTTCTGAGTGTGTGCCTTTTTATGGTTACTGTCTATGGCTTTTAGTTTAGTACCACATTCGTTAGAATCCAACGTAGTGTAACTCCTTTTTCTGCAGTAGACAATATGAGCATCTCTAAAAGATGTCATGGTTTCCCATTTGTGGTGAAGGCAGTGATACTCTGGTCTTACAGTAATGGAGGCTGCAGTAGTGGACTATCAGTGTGGGAAGCCAAAAGGTCTTCTCAGGTCTTCTCTCTACTCTCAGACCGAGTCAAGACATAATCAATAATTTCCGATCACAATCTATAAAATTAAACCCTCATTGATTTTTTAAGTAATACAGAGTGAGAATAAAGTGATAGTACATTTATATATGTATTTATTTTTTATTTTTACAAAGTCATTATGTGTACAGTACCTTTTCTGAAACATGTCTCCACCTATTGCACCAGAACAGTTAATCCAACTGTTTATGTTTGTGGATTTCTTCATTTTTCCTTTCAATTTGTAATTTATTTTTTTATTTTCCTTTTAAATAAACTCATTAACTTGTTAAATTGAAACTGTCAATATAAGGCCAAGCAGAAAAAGCAATAGCACTATTGATACTTATCGCAGAGCAAGACATTTTCCATTTGAAAAAAGTGTCATGTCATGTTCCTGACACAAAATACATTATGTCCTTTAGCTGTGATTTAATAAATATTAAATCATCAGACAAATCTATCTCTTTGTTTTCCTGTGTGATTCTTCAGTGTTCATGTACAATACTGAGTCATGTAGAAAGCCCCTGTAATGGACTTACACAGAAGTTGCTGATGTTTGAGTTAAAATGTTTAGCTTAAAAACAGTAACTGCTGTGTGTTGTGATCTCTTCACCTACCAGCCAGATTTAGATGACAATAACACTATGAACCCAAAAAGTGAGCACATCTATAAATTAAAAATTAACTGTCGATTGTCGAATAATTCCTTAATAGTTTAAGGTTTAGGGTACTTTAGGGTTCTGGGAACGCAAGGTTTAAGGTTTTCCTTTGATATCTGAAGTAAGTTTCTTTATGGATTCTCGTATTGATCAATGACTGCTGTGAACAGAGCAGCTGACAGCAAGTGACAGCCTGTTCTGACAGATGATGGAGAGGACTATACCTCAGTATGGTCTTTTTGCAGCTGCAGTCTATTATTATTTATTATTATCATGGCTAGTTAGGTCAAATGGATACTCCAAGTGGAAGAAACCTCACATCTATGTGCCTTTTAACAGGAAAACTATAGAGGGAAACCTGCTTCAAGTTTGCTCTTGTGGCGGACAAAGGAAAAGAGGGCGTCAGTATGAGTATCATCCAAAGAAGAGCAATGGTTCACCTAAGTGAAGTTCCATTTAGTAGGTGGTTGGTTGGTGAGAGCTCTTTGACAGTATACGAGGATGTTATGAATGTGGGCTACAAACCTTTAAAATGTGTTAACGCTGTATTCAGTGAGAACATACAGAACAGAAGGGGAGGCTTCAGAACCTCCTTTTATGTACCTCTTAAATTAAGCTACATAAAATCCAAAAACTGTAGCTTAGAGCTATTTTAAGGTAGGAAAGGCGTGTGAATTATGATGAAATATGCAAGAATCCTATTAGGATGACAGCCTACGGTCCTTTTTTTTTTTTTTTTACAAAAAATACTAAAGTTCCCCCTGTTACTTTAATCACACTGCAAATTGCTCTCAATGTTGCTTGTTGTTGATAAAGTTTTTGTGTGTGGACATCCATTTCTCATGTTGTGGGGACCTAAATCTGTTTACAATTGTGAGGAATTTCTCTCCTTTTGGGGTCAGAACGCAAGTCATCATAGTAAAAATCATAACATTTTACGGTGAAGACTTAAGGCTGGGTTTAGGTTAGGGTAAGTCTCTAGGAAATGTATGTACGTCAGTGTAATGTCCTCTGAAGTGATGGAAACGCGACTGTTTGTGTGTGTGTGTGTGTGTGTGTGTGTGTGTGTGTGTGTGTGTGTGTGTGTGTGTGTGTGGGTGGGTGGGTGGGTGGTAATGTTGAAAAAGACAGAGAGAAAGACAGAGAGCAGATGATCGAACAGGACAGAAATACCCATCACTGCTCAGCCCAAATGTTTATAAAATATTCTGTTGCTCCTCAGGTCTTACCTGTGTAATCAATCTACTGGCATCAGTGTATTTTTGTGAGTGCCAAAATGACCACAAAAACTTTTTAATTAATTTGAAAAATGTAAAATATCATGTCTTTTCTTTACTACCAGTAATGTGGGTCATTTTCCACTGCAGATGTCAGACTTGTCCAACTCACAGTTAGGAAACACTACTGAAAAGTGATAAAATGTGTTCAGAATATTCTACAGGTCTATCGGTGCTGTCGATGACTAATCTTCCTCAGTAAAACTAATGAAGCAGAAAAGACAACAATGTTTAAACCCTCAGTGGTTTGATAAAACAAAAGGAATAATTTACAATAAAGTCTAATGCAACAGCACCACAAACTACAGTC